AATTTGGTTATAGTTTGGGAATAGGTACTTAAATATTTTCAATAATTCCATATTAATTACCAGAATTTGGAATATTATATTGTATAAACATTTAATGGATAATTGGATTAGTTGAAATGTGTTTCTATGGATTATTTTTAAATAAATTACCAAGTAGTGATTCTTTAGAATAGATTCATGCAATACAAGAATTAATATAGATATACTTTTTTGTAAGTTGTGTTGGATTAATTTTGATATTTATTATCTTGAGAGTAAGAAAACTTTCATTTTAATTAGCAACCCATTAGAACTTAGCCATAATAGAAGATAAAAAAAGAAGAAAAAAAGTCTATTTGATATAATATCTTATTTATATATTAATTTAAAACAAATAAATTCATTTATATAATCTAAAATATTGTATGATAACAGTATTTTGAAAATTAAATTGATAAATTAAGTCTTTTTTTTATTTTATTTATTTCGTTTTTAAATTAAAAAAAAAACAATTAAAAAATTCATGAAAAATAACCAAGAAAATGATATAGGTCTAAATGTAGTTTATTTAATATAATAACATAAGTATTACTATCAAATAAATAAATAGTTTATCATAGGATAAAAAGAAATTGACTCTCGATTAATTCCATCTTTTAAGTGTAATAGGAAAAGGTTCTATAGGAAAGGTTTTACTTGTAAGAAAGAAAGATAATTAAAAAATATATGCTCTTAAAGTTATCAAAAAAACCTAATTAAAAGAAAATCATTAAGTAAAGTAAATATATGCTGAAAGAAACATACTTGTATAATAGAATTAATATTTTTAGAAAAATTCTCATCATCCATTTATTATTAAATTAGAATATGCATTCTAAAATGAAACTAAATTATATTTTTGTTTATAGTATTGTCCAGGAGGAGAATTATATCATTTATTAGTTTAAAAAAATAAATTGACTGAAGAACAGTAAATATAATATTGATATCTATAGAGCTAAGTTTTATGCATGTTAAATTGTCTTAGCATTCTAATACTTACATGAATAAGATATAATATATAGAGAGTATATTTTATCATTTAAATAAGTTTAAAGCCAGAGAATGTGTTAATTGATTCAGAAGGTTATATTAAGTTAACTGATTTTGGATTCTCTAAATAAGGAATTTAAGGTAATTTTGGTGCACATTCAAAATGTGGAACAGCTGAATATTTGGCTCCAGAATTATTAACAGGTAATCATGGTAAAGCAGCAGATTGGTGGACATTTGGAACATTAATTTATGAAATGGTTATTGGTTAACCAGCATTTTTTGGAGAAACTAAAGAAGAATTATTCAATTAAATTCTTCATCATGAAATTAATTACAAAAAAATTGGTGTTTCTTCTTAATTAAAAGATTTATTATCTAAATTATTGTAAAAAGATCCAAATAATAGAATTAGTTCAGCTAACGAAGTAAAATTATAAAATGATATTAAATCTAGGTTAAAAAACATCCTTGGTTTAAAAATGTTGATTGGGATATGATTTTATAAAAATAAATTCCTCCTGTCTTTTTTCCTTCATTAAATAGTGATGACGATGTTTAATATTTCGATGATGTAATTTAATATTTAACTTATTATTTAGTGTTTCTTAAAAGAATCTATTTTCTCTTAAACTAATTCATTATCCACAGAAGAACAAATTAATAGTCCATATTAAGGATTTTCGTATTCTGCTTCTCTCTAATAAAATAAAGAAGAATAATGGGAATTTTGATTTCTTTACTTTAATTAATTATTTAATTAAATTTATATAACTAAATAGAATTATTATTATAAAATTCATTTTTTCTATTTTGTTACATTATTTACTAAATCATAAAGCAATTTATATTTTTATTCAATCTATTCTATACTATTTTTTCTTTTTTTAAGATCCAAATATCCACATTATGTATTAGGAATTGTTGTTTTTTTTGTATCCTAATTATTTGGAGTTATACATTTAACATTTTTTATACCATTAACTTTTAATTGAATTTCGAGCAGCTATTTCAAATCAGTTTGTTAATTAATGATTTATGTAGAATTTGATCTTTATATTTACTATTTATATGGGTTATCTTATAAATCATTTTTGTTAAGATCAATCATAGAATTTTGAAAATTTTGTTTTTTTCCATTCAATTTATTTTGCTATTACAAATCATTATAATAGATATCACAACTATTAATTTTATAATTGCCATCATCTTTTAAATTAGGAATGAACGTGCACTAAAAATTAAATTATTATATTTACTTCTTTTGTTGCTTTCTCTTTTTAGATTTCGATTTATTAAGATATTTTATCATTTTTCTTTCTCATCCATATATTTTGTCTTTCAAAAAAAGTACTCGAATTAATAATCTTAGATTTTTTATTGATCTTTGGATTAAACGTACATTCTTACATTTCCTTTAGATTATTTATTGTTTGACCCTACTCTATTAAAGTCTTCAATTTTTCTTGTTTTATTATTGCTTTCTTATAGAGATAATCTTATTAATTTAATTATTGGTATTTTGTTTACGATGAACAATGAGTATTTAAACTTGTATATGAATTTTTACGAATATTATTTGAAGACTGTGTTAAAGTATTTTTCTTTATTTCTTTTGATATTAAATCACTTAATCTGTTTATTTAGTAATTCTTTTTTTAATTATAATTAAGCATATTCTCTTTCTCTTTTGTAGATTTTCTAATAAAACATTTATTTTCTTTGATCTGATTCTAAGATTGCTTAATTTATTAATTTTAAATTAACTTTATCTATTTTTAAAATAATTTTTGATTTTATGTAATTTCACTTAGTTTATTTCTGTCACTAGATAGAGCATCTGAAAAATCAGGTGTTGGGTCATCTAAAACTACTGAATTCTTTAATGCCAATAATTATTTGGAACTTTGTTAAACTTAATATCAATCGAATACTTCTAAATAAATGAGAAATTTTAAGATCCCATAAATTCATTTTTTGGAGAATGTCTTATAATCTTATCTACAATAGATTCAGATATAATTGATGAATTATCATGGTTATTAGTAGTGACATTAATGTTTATTAAATTGTTTGTCTGTTCATATCCAAAGTTCTTTATCTTTTTTAAACTTAACAAAGCCTCTTAAGCTTAAGGAGATAAATGCTTAAATGATTCGCACTTATTTAATATATGATTAAATTAAGTATCAATTTGCATCCAACGTATTAACAAATTAATTTTAATTTTATAAATAGAACTAAGTTTTTAATTAATTGCATATAGTATATATAAAATTGATATGTTATTTTCATTATTTCTTTGCTATATCCATTTGATATTGTAATTCATCCAATTATCGTTGAAGATCCTCTAATTCATGCATTGGAACAGATTCAGATACATCATCATCATCTTTCTAATCATTCTAATCTACAAATCAATTATTAAATTATACCTTAGTTATTAATTCCTTTCTTGCTTTATTTATTAGTTTATTTCATAGTTTTTGATGCTCCCCTTGATTAATTGCCCTTAATTTTAATAGTTTATTGTTAATTATTAGAATTGTTTTTCTTTCCAGAAGAATAGATAATGCCTGTCTCTTTAGCTAATTACTATTTAAGTTATTATGCTTCTTCTTAATATTTAGCTAAATCTTCTGGAGATTTATTTTCATTTTGTTTTTCTATATGTGATTTCTCACAATCCTTTACTTTCTTAGTCAAAATTTTGATTTCATTTTTAAATCCTTCAACTTCTAAGGATCTTCTCTTTTCCAATTATTAATATCTAATTACAATAAAATAATACTTTTCAATTAATTTGGATAGATTCTCTTCCAATTATTATATTTTGTTAATATAAATATTCTAAACTTATTCATATTATTCTTTTATGATTGATAATTACTCATCTTTAGATTTGATTTAGCTTCTAAATTTTTTATTATATTCATCAGACTTTTTCTCAAGCAATTCTAAAGCTGTTTTATTTTCAACATTGTATTTCTTTTGAATTTAATCCAATTCCATTTTCAATTTTTTATTTTTCAACTTTTATACTTCTAAATCTTCTTGCATTTATTTCTCCTTATTTTAAAATTTCTATTTTAATACATAACAATCTATAATGACTTATAATAATGAGATTTACCTTTAACAAGTTCAACATTTTATTTTTCTAATTTTTATATTTTTTAAACCAATTAATCTAATTTTTATTAATCTTCTTTTATTCTTAAATTAGTTTCAACTTCTTTTGCTCTCAATTCCTCTCTCAAAGCTGCAAACTATTGAGTCAACATAGTTTCTGCATTTTCAAGTTATTTTTTCAAATTATCATTCTCCAATTAATATGCATTCAACTATTCATTTGGCATATACACTGTTTTTAATATGCTCCTGCCTTAATTGATATTATGCATCTTAACACTAAATAGTTTAATAAATTCTATATACTTTCCTTATTTCTCTCTTACAGCCAATGTATCACCTGTATATTTTGTAGTTACTTCAGGTCTTAAATCTTTTTATAATACTACTTATTCCTCTATTGGTTCAATCATAGCCATTAATTCAGCAATTTTCTTTTTATCTTCCAATTCTCTAACTTTAAGGGCATCATTCTCCTTTTATAACTTTAATCTAGCTTATCTCTCTTCAAATAACATTAACTAATTTCTTCAAATTTTATATATACTTTTGCCTCTCCTACTGTTTATTATAACTCTTTAATCTCTTATTTCCTCTTTAATAATTCCCATTCCTATTAATGCTTGTCCTCATATTAAATTTTAATTTCTTCCAATTTTGTTAACCATTCAAATCTTTCTTTCTCAAATTCTCCTAATTTAGATCTATAATATGCCAGCAAGTCTTAATATTATTAAGGATCGTTGGGATTGATTGTAATTACATTACTCAGATCTCGTTAACTCATTTTATAAACGTTAATTATTATTTGATTTTTTTATAATAAAAACCAAGTAATACTTATACATAATTATTCATTATTTGATTTAGATACCAAACTCTTCATACAATTTATTTATTTCCTCCTTAGTATTCTTGTTATTAACATGCAAACTTTATAAATCACTTTCTGATATTTATTAACAATTGATTATCGAATTCAATTCATCTGGTTTAAAATTATTAATGTCATAATTTATAAAACTCTCCCCCAAAGCTTTTTCAGATTCCTTAACTATCAATTCAGATATATTGAACTATTTAACTTATTTCTAAAAATGATTTTCAGAAATATTAACTTAATTTAATATCGATTATCCCTGAGCAAAAAGTCCAATATCTGGTCTACTTTATGTTTACAGTTCCATTTGAGTCATGATAATTTCAATATCAGTATTCTTTTCTTAGTTCATTCCTATAAATTCTTTCTAATCTTCATCACTATCATCAGACTCATATTATCTAAGTAGAATTTATGATTTTCTTACAATAATTGTTATAGTTGTATCTTAGTATAAAATTCTTCAAATGGAAACTCATATTCACCAACAGTTTAATATTTCTATTTATTTCTAAAGTGCTCAGCATCAACAATAAAATAATTGATAATCATTCCTAAATAATAATAATGATATTGTGATAATTACTTCTAATTAATTCAGCAATACCTATATATAATATAAGAAGACTATGTTATTCGCTCTAATCGAAACACCCAAATATTGAAGTAGATATTGATAATGGTTGAAGTATTCCAAAAGGTAAGTATATTATTAATAATTTTTATTTATATGATATAAATTATTTCTTTTATCTCTTCTCTTTAATATCCAAATAGCTCCATTTCTTAATACTGGAAATTATATTTAAAAGTGCAATAAAAATTGCTATTCCTAACCAATAATAAAAAAAGCTAGATTCCTAATAAGATAAAGTGGCAAAAATGATTAGAGCAATTGAAAATATATTTCTGATAAAATCTAAAAAAAAAANTCAAATAACATTAACTAATTTCTTCAAATTTTATATATACTTTTGCCTCTCCTACTGTTTATTATAACTCTTTAATCTCTTATTTCCTCTTTAATAATTCCCATTCCTATTAATGCTTGTCCTCATATTAAATTTTAATTTCTTCCAATTTTGTTAACCATTCAAATCTTTCTTTCTCAAATTCTCCTAATTTAGATCTATAATATGCCAGCAAGTCTTAATATTATTAAGGATCGTTGGGATTGATTGTAATTACATTACTCAGATCTCGTTAACTCATTTTATAAACGTTAATTATTATTTGATTTTTTTATAATAAAAACCAAGTAATACTTATACATAATTATTCATTATTTGATTTAGATACCAAACTCTTCATACAATTTATTTATTTCCTCCTTAGTATTCTTGTTATTAACATGCAAACTTTATAAATCACTTTCTGATATTTATTAACAATTGATTATCGAATTCAATTCATCTGGTTTAAAATTATTAATGTCATAATTTATAAAACTCTCCCCCAAAGCTTTTTCAGATTCCTTAACTATCAATTCAGATATATTGAACTATTTAACTTATTTCTAAAAATGATTTTCAGAAATATTAACTTAATTTAATATCGATTATCCCTGAGCAAAAAGTCCAATATCTGGTCTACTTTATGTTTACAGTTCCATTTGAGTCATGATAATTTCAATATCAGTATTCTTTTCTTAGTTCATTCCTATAAATTCTTTCTAATCTTCATCACTATCATCAGACTCATATTATCTAAGTAGAATTTATGATTTTCTTACAATAATTGTTATAGTTGTATCTTAGTATAAAATTCTTCAAATGGAAACTCATATTCACCAACAGTTTAATATTTCTATTTATTTCTAAAGTGCTCAGCATCAACAATAAAATAATTGATAATCATTCCTAAATAATAATAATGATATTGTGATAATTACTTCTAATTAATTCAGCAATACCTATATATAATATAAGAAGACTATGTTATTCGCTCTAATCGAAACACCCAAATATTGAAGTAGATATTGATAATGGTTGAAGTATTCCAAAAGGTAAGTATATTATTAATAATTTTTATTTATATGATATAAATTATTTCTTTTATCTCTTCTCTTTAATATCCAAATAGCTCCATTTCTTAATACTGGAAATTATATTTAAAAGTGCAATAAAAATTGCTATTCCTAACCAATAATAAAAAAAGCTAGATTCCTAATAAGATAAAGTGGCAAAAATGATTAGAGCAATTGAAAATATATTTCTGATAAAATCTAAAAAAAAAAGATTTGTGTTCAACTATTTTTTTGTCAAAAATATGTTTAAAAATATTAAAATTAAATAAGGGATTAACACTAAAGCTAAAGTGAAATATCTAGAAATGAAATAGCATTCATCATATTAATTAATGTCATTCTCTTCTTGATTTTTTATCTATTAAATTAATCAATAATAATATACTCCTTTCGAATATTCACACACTGTATATGTTAGGTCAGTAAATGGTATAATTAATGAAGTGAATTGACTGATTATGAAAAAATGACGTTATTCTATTACTTTTAGATTTAATGATTGCCATAAATTACGATAAAGCCACAATCGACCTTGCCCATTAAATATAAATTTTGAAGGAAATGCCACTATTGCCAAAAGAGAAACCCAAATTATTATTGGGAAATACTCTTCTCCTTTTAGATTTGAAAATATAACGCCTAATCTAGAAACATCGCATATATAAAAAAGACTAACTAATAAAAAGATTGTGGTTAAAGTCATAACTCTTTTTAATTATTCATTGATAGTTGAGAAATGATGATTGAAGCAGAAATATAATTTATAATTAATCTTGGATATATTCCATAAGTGAATAACTATTGTTAAAGACCAATAATACAGAATAAACAACAAGGCTCCTCTATAAATTGGAAATGATTCATAAATAATAGTATTATTTAAAATGTTTAACTATTTTTGAGTTGCTAAAAATATGATGAATGACATTAACATCAAAGAAAAGCCAGTAAATAGACCAAACTAAAACCAGGCTTTATTATTTTTATTATTTTGAAATTGATATTTACGAAGTTATTCCTTACATAGTTATTATTGAGTTTGATAGAAGTGTTTTAAAAGGTATTTCTCTACTTGAAATAATAATTATTTGACTTTATTTCTTATTAAATCAAAATTTATCTCTTAAGCCAATTTCTTAGATTCATCCATATTTATTTGTTCTTAATTTATCTTAATGGATTTCTTATTTTATTTCTTTAATAGTTTACGAATAGCTTCTTGATTGATTTTTAAATACTTATCAAAATTCTCCCCTTCATTATATAATTAAAAACATAATTCTTTCAATTTATTACATTTCTCATTGAACTCTGACTCTTTCACTTTGATTTATTTTCTAGTTAATTATTCAGTTAATTCTTCTGCTACTTAAGAATTACCTCTGATTACTGAACGTTTTTTATTCCTATCTAATTATCTCTTCTATCTATTCATTGACAATATTTATAATTATATTTTATAAGTCTTGCCCTTCAAATCATTATATTTGGCATTCATAAAGGATCTTATTTTAGATATTTCTTAATTGAATTTTTTATTGAATTCTTTCTAATCCACCATTATTTTAGATATGATATAAGTTTTTTCCATAACGACTTTCTTAATATCCTTGTACTCTTGAGTGCTCTTTGTTTTTTTGGCATAGAGTAGGAAGTCTTTTAAGGCACCTGAAGTTGATAAATAGGCTTTTATGGCCTTATAATTCAAATACATTAAGGCCCATTCTGGAATAATATTGTTTAATAAGAATTCAGCGAATTTCATTTAATTATATTTTAATCGTTAGAACAAAATTATATATGAAGCTTTCTCGTATACCTGTAAGAGCATTTGGTAATGCAGCATATCAACAGCCTATCGAATAACGTCAAGTACGTCCTTCCTCCATTTAGTAAAGCTTGGAACCAAGATAAATTATGAGATGTGTCTCTTAAGAATAAAAATTACCTCATCCATCTATACAATATGTTCAATATCCTTAATAAAGGTAATGTACTTGACTTTATGGCAATTTAGAGGTTCGAGTCCACCAATACGAAAATCACTTTAAGAGACTGTTGCTTATTATCATTAATAATAATACTAATAGAGTGTACCTCTGAAAACTGAACAACAAAATAAATTATCTGAACTGAACAAAGTTTAATCTTAAGCTCAATTGAATTTTGGTATTTAGGATGACACGGGTCAATCAATAATTATTAAACAATAGAATGAATAAATTTAACAATTACAAACTCAATTATCAGAGAAAGTTCATTAATATTAATAATTGTAAGAGAGATTTAATGTAGAATTCAAGAAGTTTTAGGAAGACTTAAGACACAAATTAAATAATATTGATTTAAACATCACTTAGAATGATTACACTTAATAATTTATGTTGGAAATTGATAGGAAAGTGTCAAATCTATAAAATAATCTAAATGAATAGATTAAGGAATTGTAAGAGAATTTTGAATAAAAGACTAAATAGAGTGAACATTTAGTTAAAAATCTATCTTCTAATACATCATTAAGATTAAATGAAGATGAATAACATTTCAAATAAGAGATTGAAAATTTGAATATTAAATTGAATAGTAAAGCAGACAGATAAAAAGTAGAATAAACAATATAAGTATAAATTACTTAATTATAAAATTAATACTAATTACAATTATAATAGGCACATTAATTATTAAATAAAATAAATAATGAAAAGAGTGATGAATTATTATAAATCAAAAATTAAATACAAAACACTTTATTGCATCTAACATAATAAGTTAATTAATAATTATAAAACATGTATGATACAATAAATTAAAGAGATTAGGAGAATAATAACAATAAATAAGAAAGTAAATATTTAAGTTAACATTTCAATAATTTATCAAATAAATTTTAATAATTATAATAATAATCTATTGAAACTATTACATAATTAAAGTAAAAAAATAAATAGATTGAAAAAGAAAAGCAAGAATTAAATAAATAATTAACTTAATAATAATTTTTAGTTTCATAATTCTAATCTGAAATTAATAAATTAAAAAATACTAACTCTTAATTAACATTACAATTATCACCATAAGTCAAATAAAATAGTTTCTTATCCAATTCTACAGCTGTAGCAAATTAAAAATCAAAAAAACAATTAAGTATTGCTAAAAAGAAAAATGAAATCAGTTTGGATGATTTTGTTGATTTTAATGAAAATTCATTGCTAGATTCTAATGATAGTTTTGAAATAAATGAAACTTGTGGTTTCAGTAAAACTAAAAAGACAATTTAATTAGAAGAATTCTAAAGTCCTCCAAGAAATCCCTTTAAGAAATCCTAATTATAAAATATTAATAAACTATTAAATGAAAACTTGAGTGGATAAATGTCTTGTAAAAGTAGAGGAAAATCAGCACCTTTACCTATGATTAATGCTTTAACAAAGGCAATAAAAAGAAGTATAAAATCATTAAATTAATTTTATAAGGATTACTTTATTTAGGTAAAAATGATAGAATTTTGACATGTACATATGATTCAGAGAAACATTTAATTGATTGTGATATGGGATTATGTTTATTAGATGAAAATGGTTCTCCATTTGTAGTTAGTGATTAAGAAAAGAACCAATTGATACAAATGAAATTGATCAGGATAAATTGATTACTATTATTCATACTTATTATACATATATAATGATTAGTAACAATTTACTTATTTACATTAATTTTATAATATTTAATATTTATCATTATTAAATATTATTAAATAATAACTTTTAATTCTCTTTATATAATAAACTGTTCAATAAAAATTGAGATCAACTCCTACACTACATAAGGTTGTGTCTCCTAAATATTATTTAATTGATGGAGTTGACCATCCACCAAAAGCATATTTAGAATAATCACTAAAGGATGGATTATTGTCATAATGGGCATACCAAAGTGGCTTTGATGTAAAATAAGCACAAGCTGAAGTAGATCCCATAATAGTTTACCATTAATATTAAGATGCATATATTCCAACTAATCTTCCTCTATTTCCTAATTCTCTCACAATGTCTTATAAAAATTAACAATTTCCTGAATAATCTGAGGTACTCCATCCACATCCAGTACTAGGATTGTATTCAACGTCAATCCATACTGTACCATATTCTGAATTAAATACACTATCAAATTCAGAAACTTAAGCTGAAGCAGTCTTCTCTTAAAAATTTAGGATTTATAATATACTTCCTTTGCAAGGGAAAAAATAAGCATCACCAATTAATCCAGCCGCTTTAGCATTTCTTAAATTTTAGAGACCTACAGTATCAGCAGCACCATAACTCATATATCCTCTTACAATAGCAAATTAGTAGCCAGCATTTCTAATACATGAAAAATTATTGAAGGATGCACTTAAATCAACACCTTTCACTGCAATTACTGTTGGGACTACTATTAAAATTAAGAATAGGATTTAGTTGAATGATTTCATAATTTAAATAGTGAATATTGATCAAAAATCCTACTTTAAGAATATACTAATGACGTAATGATAAATAAATGATAGTATAATTATAGTATATTCTTTAGAATTAAATAAGGAGTATAAGAATTACATAAAGAGTTAATTGAAAAATATATGAAATCACAATAATTAATTGATTAGCCCTCTCAACAGTTTTGATTCAAAATTTATTTGATTTTATTAAACCTGAATACTTTTTTTGATTGTCTCAATTAAATTAGCATCAATATTTAGAGATTTGTTTTTGATATTGTAAATTAATACTTTATGATATGTTAAAAGCAATAGTAACATTATTTGTGATTATTTACTTGAATTTTCTCCATTGTTTTCATTCAAATAAGAAATAAGACTATTTATTAATAATTTTAGATCTTTTAAATCTTTACTTGTATAAACCTATTTATTTGTGGCACAATATATTATTTCCTTATGTAAAATTACCATAGTATTTATTTCAATTTTGCAATTAATATAATTTGGTATCAAATCAAGTTGATTTTCAATTACTTTTATTAATTACTACAATTAAGATTTGCCTTAAAATGATTAGTTTTGAAAATGTCCACTTAAACTATTAGTCCTTTTAACTCTTTCAGTCTTTGGATTTCTATATGTAGTATTATAATCAGAAACTCGATTATTTTCTTCTAATTGAAAGTCAGAAACCTTAACCAAATCCAAATCATAATTCACTTTATTTGAAGTATTAGTGGAGTTAGATTATAGAGCACTTGCTGTTCTACAAGAATCATTATTACTATTTAATTTTTATTAAGCATTTTAGATTTTGTCAAAAAAAGTAGTTAATTCATTTCTTTAAGTATGATATCGATAATTTTATGAGGTACTTCTTTCTCTATCTTTTAAAATATTGTTTTGTTTAAGTTTCTCTCTTAAATCAAAATAACTACTTACTTATTTGTCATTAACAACAGGTGTTTTATTATCTTGTCTATTTAATTTATCAGTAGTTTGAAAGGTAGTATTACTGTAGCTTCGATTATGTTTATTTATTTATTAACATAACGATTCAGTTCTTTATTTGATTCTTTACATTTGGAGAGAGTATTTGGAATCATTTTTCTGAGAATTTTGATCTTATCGATAAGTTGGTGATGAAAAGTCATCTTTAATAATTGAAATAGGAGAATTTTCCTTATTTTCATTTAAATTTAAATAGACTGCTTTGAATAGGTCATCCCAATTCCATCTCTTTTCTTCATTTATTTATAAACATCCCTTAATTAATAGTTTAGTAGAATCAGATACATAAGGATGAACTGGAAATTAGAGAGGCTAATTTAATAAATTATTTATATACTTTAGAATCTAATTTGTTCATCAATTCTACTAAATTTTGAGAATGCCATGGAGTCATACCATAAAGCATTTCATAAAGTATTAATCCTAATGACCATATGTCACATTTGGAAGAATATTTACCTCTTTTTAGAATTTAAGGACTCATATATAATGGAGTTCCAACAAGAGAACACATTATTGTATCAAGATTTTGATCTATTTGTTTTGCAAAACCAAAATCTGTAATTTTAAATTGAGAATCATGTTTTAGAATATTTGCTGGTTTTATGTCCCTATGTATAATACCTTATTTTAATAAAGCCTTGATTCCTTATAACAAATCCTTTAAGATTTTGAGTGCTTCATCTTCAGGAATAACTCTAATTATTATAGATATTGTACTTTCTGGCTTTTATAAATTCTCTTAAATCTCCACCATTACAAAATTCAGTTATGATATAAGTATTATTAGCACTTTATAATACATCTAGCAATTTAACAACATGTGAATCTTTTATTTTTTTCATTATTTCAATTTCTGAAACAATAAGCTGATTTGCATAATCGGTAAGTAATAATTTCTTATCAATAATCTTAAGAGCAACAATACTATCTAATGATAAAAATGCATATGTACTATCATTAGTATTTTGACCAGCATAAACTGTTCCATAAGCCCCTTTGCCTAATTTGGATTTAAAACTGAATTGATAATTCTGTATTTTTTTATCAGGTGCATGGCTCAGATGTTGCATTTTATATTTTGAATTTGAAATAATTATTTAATGTTTTCAAGAATTGTCTAATTTAAAATTTATGGCAAAATTGATGAAAAACTGTATAAACTATTTTCTTAATTTAGAACCTAAAAAGTTTATAAAAGCATATAGGAAACAAAATTAATCAAACCAAAATTAGTGACTGTTCATATACATGGAGAAGGCTCATTTGTTTAATCTAAATGCATAGCCACTGCAATAAGAAATTATGCAAGATCTTATAAGTAAAATTTAAAACTATTTATTTACAGAGTACCATTATATACATTTGCAGAGGATTTTGTAATGAATAGTTCTGTGTATCTAATGACAATTGGAGATAAAAATTTTGCTAGTGAATATTCTGTAATTGGAGATTTTGGATATGTATAAAGAAGATTAGGATATAAATAATTAATGGAAAATTTGGGAATGTATTATCATAATATGATTATAATTAGACAACACAAGTTCATTCATAGTGGTGAAAAAAAAGTGAAATTAAGTCCTTATGATGATTTAAAAGAAGAAGATGTTAAATGGTAGAAATTATAATGAAGATCATAGGATAGAAGGCTAACTTAAACACAGAGAATAAAGATTAAAAGATGAGATTATGTAAAATAGAAATTAGAGAGTTGATTAAGAAATGTGGAATTAAACTTTGCTCACTGGTTAATAGGCTTTAAAATATGGTTTAATTGATAAATTAGGAATCTTTGATGATATTCGAGAGTAAGAATATAAGGGAATGAAGACATACGATATATTATCTAATCTTTTGGATTATTATGTTCCTGCCAAGTATAAAAAATTAAATTAAATCTAGTGCAACATTTTCTAATTACTTATCCATTTGATAGAATGTTTTATTCATAAAAATTATTTAATCAAAGTATCCTATTTCTAAATCCACTGTAAAAGCTTTTATGCATCTGTCCATCTACTTTCGCTTGAACTACAATTTAAAAGAACTATTATATAAGAACTAGTTTAATCCTAGAAATATTCAACAACTGATGGTCCTGCTTCCTTAGTGATACCTGTTTTTACACCTTTGAATCCTTATTATAATAATTTATTTGTATTCTCCCAATATAACTCTCTAGAGTTGTATTGCAACTAATTCGGAGTTTCACAATAATAAGATTAAGTTCTTACAATTTTTTAGAATTATTCATTTTATAAACTCTCATATGTAAATTTACCCACATCATATGCAGTGGAGAAATTGTTTTCATTACAAAGTCCTATTTGAATATAAATTGTTGTTTACCATGAACATTACTAAATTAAGTATTTGATAATCCTAAAGAGCTCACAAATCGATTCATTTCTTTTAAGAAGTGATCATTTTCTAAAGAGTATAGTTAAAAATTGTATGAGAGTGTTACAGCAGCATCATTACCTGATGGTAGCATCAATCCATAAAGGAGGTCTCTTAAAAAGATAGAGTCTCCTTTCAATAACCCTGCAGTAGTTCCAGAAATTTTTTATGCCTATTTAGTTTAATTAATTAACTTAATCTGGAACAAAAAAGCGTTTTCTATCTATGTTTAAATTTAATTCTTTTGCTAACCTTAAACTTACAATACATGTAACAATTTTGGTTATTGAAGCTATTTATCTGCATTTATTTTAATTGAATCCAGTGATATATTCTCCATTTTAACCATTGAATATTGCCCAACTTGATGCAGAGACTTTAAAAAATGGAATCAATTGCATATATAATGGTGCTTTGCATAATTACTATTAAAAGGTAATTTAAGTTGTTTATTTTTATTTGAATGATATTCTTCTACTGCCATATTAACTGATAACACCTCTATCAAATAATTTAATTGGTTTTGGATTTGTTTTAAATTTATAAGGTTATTCAGAAGAAGGGTCTTATGATATTGTATTGGTTTCAATTGATTTCAATCTACTGAGTGTTCTTTTAGCTGAAGATCTTAATTGAGATTGAAAGCCTTATGTCCAATTTTTAATTTATATTGGTTATAAAGTTTCATCATTCATTTTATTATATTAACTTATTTATTTAGAAAATCAATTGTATAGATTGTACATACAATTATAAATATTTTTATATTTAAAATTAAGATATGAGAAGCAAACCATAAGCTCCAGCACCTGTAAGTTAAAAATAATAACCTTAAAAATAAGGAAATGTACGTAAACCACAGGAAAGGTAATTTATGATATTTGAAATGTGAAGACCTGGATTGACTGATGACGAGATTGATGAAATAAGAGAAGCATTTAATTTATTTGATACAGAAGGCACAGGAAGAGTAGATCCTAGAGAATTAAAAGCAGCTATGTAAAGTTTAGGATTTGATTAAAAAAACCCAACTATTTTCAATATGATTGCTGAGTTAGAAAATGAAGGGTATTTAGTATAATTTTAGAAATAGAACTGATATTGATTTTGACTAATTTTTGGATGCCATCACATCAAAATTAGGAAATAGAGAAAGTAAAGATGGAATAAATAAAATATTTGATTTATTTGATGATGATGGAAGTAATACCATTAATTTGAATAACTTGAAAAGAGTATTATTTATAGATTGAAATTGTATTAGGTTTCTAAAGAATTGGGAGAGACAATGACAGCAGAAGAGTTAGCAGAGATGTTAGAAAGAGCAGCATCAAATGGTAGAGAAATCACAAGAGAAGATTTCTATAATATCATGGTTAAAAGAACATTTTGATAACCATCAGATATATATATATATAAATTATATAAATAAATGATTAAATTAGAGGCTCATACCTTTCATAATAAAAATGTTATGACACCAGCTAAATTATCAAATAAATCTCCTTTAGATATAGTTAGATAGAAAAAAATCATTTTCAAAAGAGAATTGTTAAATACAGAATAGAATTTCCTAGTTCAAGTAACTCCTAATTTCTAGTATTATTAGACAGAAGAAAATTAAGAAATTGTTTATTTAAAACCTGATGTTCCGGATCTCATTATAACAGATCTTACAAACATGGCTATATAAGAAGATATATCTGAATATTAAGCCTTAGAGTATCATAATAGAGCAGCCAAGTTGTTAGAATTTTATACAAAAAATTAGTAACTCAAATTCTTAACTTAGAATTCAAGTTTAATACACATCAGTTTTATTCTCAAAAATAAATTATGCCATAATACTTAAGAAATATGCAGTCCAAAATGAAGCCTTGGAAATATTATTAGATTGTGATGAAATTCTTAAAATTAAAGGCAAAGTACTCAAAAAGAATTCAATTGAAAGTTTAAACTTGGCTTAAATTATCTAAAACAAACTTTTAAGATTGAGACTCATGTTTCAAATCACATTACTATTTTCAGAAACAAAAAAGTAAAATCTATATTTTAAATAAGAAATAAACAGGCATTAGATATGGCTAAAAAGGCATTAAGAATCTTAAAGAGTATTGTATAGAATACTATAAAATTATGTCAATAAATTACTGTAATGTCATTAATCAATAAAAAATAAAGAGCCAATTCAGAAATCAGTTCTCCATTATAAAAAATCTAGTCATCATAATCAATTAATTTACCATTTTAACAATCTTAAATTTTATCATATCCATAAATTGTAGAGAATGTTTTTAAAGAAATATTGATATCTATCACAAGTATGTTACCAAATGATGAAAAATCTAATGATGTTATTAATATTCAAAATTTAATGATACGAAACAATTAGAATAGAAGTCAATCACTTTTTGCTTCAGAATATATTTTTCAATCATAAAATAATTAATAAAATAAACTATTCACTATTATAGATGATAATCATCCTATGTTGTAAATGTAAATTTTAGGATTGATGTAATTAACTTATGTAGATTTAGAAGAATTATTCCCTATTAATAGTTATGAGATGGTTATGGCAGAAGAAGTCATTTTAGAATTAGTAAAAATCATATCAATTAATTCATTAGATTATGTTGACAGGATTAAGTTTCTATAGTATTTCAACAGAACTTAGATTCATCAATAATCAATCTAGTAAATTAACTGTAGAAATATGGCTTGGCAAAGCTGTAGAAATATTCTATACTTATGTACCACATTCGAGTGCCATCTTTAATTAGATTTATCAAGTTTATCAAAAATTATATGGAGTAGACAAATAATCTATAGTAATCTATTCAAAACATAATTTAGCCAGAAGATGAAGAAGTAGAATATCATACAAAATTATTGAAACCACATCCTTTTAATAATAAATCCAATCTCTCTAATAAAATTGTCATTATAATCAAAGTACCTAATTAAAACAAATAATCATCATAATCGAAAGATACAGAAACTAAATAATCTCAAAATACATAAACTAATTAATAAAAGATTTAATAATCAATGTTTATTAAAAAGTAAATTATTATTCCTCAAAAACATACATTTACATAACCTAATTCAGATAAGAAATTTGATACTATGCAAGATGAAAAAGATAAGTCTCCCTAATTACAATAATAATTATTTGTTAAAAAAAATAATATCTCTTTAAATTCTACTGATGTAAAATAAAGAGTAGAAATTCTTATGAATTAAATACTTAATCAATAAGCTAGATTAACTTAAGAAAAACTTAAATAAAAAAATACACCTATAACAATCTTAAAACAAAAATATTAAGTTACATCCAAAATACAGGAAAATCAAAATACTTTTAATCCTTTGATGACTTCATAACTTAAAACTACCATTCCTGTTAGTAGATCTCTATCTAATTCAAGAAAAACTAGTTAATCTAATTTTAAAAATTAATTTAATAGTGTTAAAACTGCTTAAATGAGATATCGTACTTAAATGAGTTCAGGAGATGAATCATCTAAATAACTTGCACAACAAATTGCTGCTTAATTAGCTAGTTTTAATCGCTAATCAACTGTATATTTATTATATTATATTCATAGAAAGCTTTTCAATTAAAAAGGAGTGATTCTGCTAAAAAATAAAAAGGTTAATTTCAATAAAATTGAATTTTCTTATTAAAATTATTTATTACTGAGATTTAATATATAAATTAAAACTTAATGAATATTTATAGATCAATCATTTCACTTGATAAAATATCAAGAATAAAATTCTTCTTCGTAAGAATCTAATAATTGATCATCTGACTATTGTTGTGATTTATTGATAAAACTAAATCTGGGAGAGTCTAATTAATTATGAGAGTATAAAAAATTAGACTAATCTTGTATGTTTATGTAATTTAGATTAAACATATAAAAATCAGTTTAATTTAATTTATAAATTTTGTCATTTTCTTAATTTTAAGCCATCTCCTTAATTATATCAATATCCTAAATTTATAATATTTATTATTTTATTTGTTCACTAAATATGTCATCATCTATAAAATATTGTAAATGCATTAAATTTTAATTCTAATCATATTAGGAATCTATATGAAAATTTAAGGGTTAATTTATTACATCTAAGAATTATTTTTCTATTTACATAAACTCTTATATTACATTAATATTGGATTACAATTATTCTTTAAAATTAATCAGTTCCTATAAGCAAGTACAAACTTAATTAATATATGATCGTGTAACTCTAATATTTTGTAGATCTTAAAAATTAAAAATATCAAGTAATTGATTAATACCCCATTACTAAAATATTGCTTTTGTTGATGAACACTTTATTTAATATACTTATTAAGGGAATTTACGATTTAATATCTATGATAATTTTTCATAAGAGAATTTTTAATTCTTGAAATTATCATATTCTTACATTTTTGATTTTAGAATGCATTATGCTTTTAAAATTTGATTAAATTCTTTTTTAGGATAATGGATTGATATTTATGATAGATATTTTATGGCTTAATCACTTATTTATTTGTTAACATCTAAACAACTATTGTTAAAAATAAAAGATTCTGATATAATGTTAAATAATTTTTCAATTAAAGTTTTCTTATTTTAATTGAAGAGTTTATTTTCTTATAAAACTGATATTAGATATTTTTCATTCAAATTAATACATGGATATCCTAATTATTCAAGCTTATATTGAATATATTCATAGGTTAATATTTTTGATTTTATATTTTCTAAAGAATATTCTATAATTTTAAATTATTAAAAATCTGCATTATTTAATAATTAATTTTAAGCTTATGATATTAAGCCATTATTATTCTCATTATCATAAATTTGGGATGAATTTTAACTCTATCTAATTTAAGTAAAACTATTATCTACATTTTCACTTAAATATAAAAGAGATGATCTGCAATTTAAGTAATCTTCTTATTTTATTTTTTTTTTTTACTTCTTTGTTTTTGTTTCAAAAGTTCTTTAAATGATTGTGGTTGAAGAATTAGTAAGTATAGTTTTTTTTAATGTTATTTATGGCTTTTTTTCTTAGTGATTTTGATCTTAAACTAATAGTTATTTTTTTAAATCTTTAGTTTTATCTTGATTAATTACTGTAGGAGTAAAAGAGATAAGGATATTCTATAATTCATCACATAATGTTGAATAATGATTTTTTATACTTTATATATCAAAACTATGCAAAGTTTCAAGATTAATTATTAGTGTCATAAATTCATTAAGTCTATCTGTAATATCTTGAATAAATATTCTTATTTTCCTAACAAGATTGAATTCATCAATGTTACATAACAAATGAAAATCATCTATTAGATTAGAAGTCTGTATTTATTTGAATGATTGATGTTTAAGATATTTCAATTCTTGTGGTAATTTTATGCCGAGAATATTGAATAAACTTATATAAGAAAAGATGTTATTTGGAATTGTATCATAATAGGGATTGTTAAACCTAAATGTTACAATGGAATCAATTTCATTTAACCATTATTAATCACTCCACCTAATTTCTAATCCTTGAATATTAAAAAATTATAGCACTCTCTATTTAATTATTTGACATCTATCATCCCAAGCATTTATTTATGTAACTTCTCCTATGAAACTTATTAAAACTCTAAGTTTTTTAAGTTATTCAAATTCACTTTAAGTGTGTATTCCTTATAAATAAGCATGAATTTTGTCACTTTCTATATTTATTGAAGGAAAGCCAAACAACATAATTACTCTTCTCTATAACAACTTTAAATTACATTAAAACTTTAACTACTCTAACTATTTGTTTGAATATCCAAGTTATGAGACTATCATATTGTATTTAGAAGACTAATCATTAATTTCATTAATTTCTTATTACATAGCAAAAAAGTAAAATAATATTATTAATCATCCACATTAAAATATATTCAAGTATAGTAATATAACATTAATGCTTTTTATAAAATTAGGTTTATTTAATAGAATAGAAATATTTCATTTTTAGGAGTATTTATCCATCATGAAACACTAATTTACTTATATTCTTTATAAATAGAATTTACCATATTTTGTTTTTATAATTAAATAAATGAAAATTTAAAATCAGTTATTTATATATAATAAGTGATTTGGAATTATTGAGAAATTATGAAATAGGCATAATATTAAGTTTTGTTAGTTATTTAACAATGATAAATTTTAAGGATGGAATGTTGAAAGTCCAAAAAGTATTCTATTAGATCAAAAAAGTAAAAATGATAAAATAGAAATTGAATAATATTAAAAAAATTTGAATCTTTATGATTTATAATTTGAAGAGAATCACACTCTGATTTTTTTGATAGGAAACAAAGTTAATTAAGAATTGATGCAATATAATTTTGAAGACTATAATTATTACATTAATCAAATCAACATCAATTGGATGAGAAGAAATAGAGTAATTTTAAGAAAATACTCCTGTTTATCTTAATACTGATATATTTACAATTTTTATAACATTTCATTTTATCACCCATCAATTGAAGTAATATAGATTCAAATTATATTAAGATTACTAAAATAATGAAATCTATCAGAGAGAATGGTCTATCTTAAGTGATTTAAAGTAGTGTATTTTAAAAGCAAAATAAATAGGGAGTAATAATTTGAACATTATTGAGGAAACCTATTGATTATTGATGTGACTTAGTTATATTATATATATATTATTTGCTTAATGATTTTTACACCAGCTTCTTAGTAAGAGAAGGCAACATTAGAGAAGATAGGAGAATTTCTTATGGGTTTGAGCAAAAATGTGCTTAAACAAGGAAGTTCTATAAGTTTACCAAAGTTTTTGTAAGATTTAGAGGATACTTCAAATGAACTTTGTTACATGCTTTAAGCTAGAGATTAAAATGATTATAGTCATGCTATCAATAAATATACTTAAGTTTGGAAAGACGTATTGAAATCAGTTTAGAATGCCAATCAAATGCATACAGAAGGGGAACATGAACTAGAGCCTTTATCTAGAGCAGATTTGATGTAACGAATGAAGAAGAGAATGATGGAAGGAGGACAAACGGGAAGGTTGGGTGGAGCTAGAGTTGGAGGCTTTTAATCACCATTGGTTGAAAATGAACGAATAAAGAATCGTTAATTAAGTAGCAAAAACTCTAATATATTACCATCTATTAGATTGAATTCTTTTGAATAATAAAATGATCGAACTCTAAATAATTCATCAAGGGTGTAATATGAATTAGATGATAATCAGAAATGTATATTAAATGAAGTCTTGAAGTAAACAAATAAATTAAATGTATAAATTGTAATGAAGAGATATGATCCAAAGATCAAATTATGTATATCATAAGGAACAGATACAAATTTAGATATCTTAGAAGTGATGAGAAATTTTAAGAAAGTAAATTATTATCATTATTTTATATAGGAATATCATGAAAGTAAATTATAAGAGATTGTATAAGATAGTGATAAACATTCTATGGAGCTATAGAAATTTTTAAATGAAAGAATTGATCATAGATATACTTTATAAACTTAATAAGTTACTGATAAATTAAAGGGAGTACATAAGTAAATGATTTAAAAGACAATGGATATTGAAACTGTTATATTGGATACTTAAAAATAATAAACATAATAAGACATGATACCTAATATCTTAAATGATTTCTTAGACTATGTACATGAGAGCTATTAGAATGTTTAAAATGAAACATATAAAGTTTTGATGAAATTTGTTTCTGGATTTATAGTAAGGAGACTTAAATAAGATTCTGAGAAAAAGTTACCTTAATAAAATTCTTAATAATTATTGTCTAGTTCAAATAAAGATCGTAAAGCACCTCCTTTAAGAAGAGCAGATAATACAGAATAATTGTAGAAAGAATTATCAAATAAGAATGTAGAATTGGATAAAAAGTTTATGGAAAATGCAGAATTATGGAACAGAATTAGATAAATGGAAAATTAAATAATGTAATAGAATATTGAAATTGAATCAACTAAAATTGCTGAAAAAGCTATAGAGTAAGAACGAACTCAATTATTATATGAAAAATAAAAATTAGAAAAATAATTGTCAATTATAACTAATAAAACATTTTAAGATCAAGCAGTTTAAGTTTCAGATTAAACATTACAATAATAAATATCCAAATTATAAAAAGAGAATTAAGAATTATAATAAAAACTTTATCAATTAACAGGAGAATTAAATAAAAAGAAATCAATACCAGCAGATTAAAAAAGTTTACAAATGGATATTGGTAATAGTTAAGATCAATCAAATAAGGATTCTCCAAGAGCTACAAGTAAAATGAAATCATAATTTGATTTTGCTCCAGATGAAGATAATATTTCAATTGGATATCGTGGTGAATCAAATCGATAGATTTAATATAGTGATTACACAAAAAGATAAAGTACTGATGTAGGATAAAGAATGAGTTTTACTTAACATATATAATCATAGAAAGAATAAAGGATTTATAAAAATAATAGTCAAACATCAGATACATCATAAAATAAGAGAGTTTATTAACATTCATATACAGAATTTCATCCACCCAAACAACCCAATAAATAAACTACTATTGATTAGAAATCAATATAAGAATTAGATGAAGAATAAATGTAAAAAAGTGGTATGCTTTTGTAACAATAATAATAAAAACAATAAGTCAGAAAAAGTTTATCCCCTAATAATGAAAATCCATAATTATTAAGAAAAATGAGTTCTATATCAAAATCTGATTAAAATTTAACTTCATCTATAGCTAGAAAATCTACTATTAATTAAATGAAAATTGGTGACTCAACCATCCCAGATATTGATTTAACTTAAGCTTAAACAATTTAAGATACTTAAAGAACATCATCAGGAAGAGTGCTTACTTTAACTGAAAGAAAAAATGATTCAAGTCCTTCAGATAGAAGAATCTAAACAGAATATACTGATTAATCTTAATTTTAATAATGTTAAATACAATAAAATTCACAAATTTCAAATACTCCTTAATAAAATAAATAAGTAAGAGGATATAAAAAATCTGAAACTTTTTTGGCTAATAAAACAAAAAATAAATTTGCAAGAAAATCAACAGATGCTATGAGAGATATTCAAGATGATTAATAATCTGGAACAATTTCAAATAGAGGTTCAACAAGGATAATAGAAGGTAATAAGTCAAAGATACCTTTGATAATAGAAGAAGATGAAGTCAGTAGGAAATCTAAATCTCGTCTGTCTTCATAATAATCATCATAATCTCATATAAGAAGGTCTAGCACTACTATTTAATAACCTATAAAGATGGCAATAAAAGTTAATGATGAAAATCCATCTGAATATATTGCTTAATGGAAATAAAGAACAATAGAATAAGAATAATAAACAGATATTGAATTGTTAACAAATTTATTAGAGAATTTGATTTTAAATATGGGATTACCTAATGATATTTAATAGAAATTAATGGATGCAATGCCAGGAATAGCTTCATTAAAAAATCTAAATTAATTAGGTGGAGATCAAAATAATTTGTTAAAATAATAATAATCCTTTAAAAATGTAGTTTAAAAATATGGTTTTGATAATGAAAGAGTTAGTTCAAATTAAACTTAAAATCATAGTGCAAAATAATCATAAGACTCATTACTAGAACATGAATCAGAAGATGAATAAATATAGATGGGTTCTAAATAAGGATCTTAGAAACAAATGGATACTTAAAGAAGTTAAAATTAAAAATAAAAATCTACTAAATTCTTTTAAGATAAGTAGAAGAAGGAATCAAATGTTTAAAGATAACCTTCTCGATAACCTATAGATCCTTAAGAATAATTTGATTAAGAGGAAGTATAATAAATTTTTGACATGGCTGCTGATTTAAATATAGATAAAGTAGATTAATTACCTTATGAAGAGATGGTAAAATAAATTTAAAACTAAGAAAATGATGGTAAATAATTATAATAAATTAAACCAAATGAATTAAAAGGAGAAACGTTTTTAAGAAATTTATTTAATTAAATATAAAACAAGAAAACTAAAGGAGTTGAAAATGTACAAGAATTATTAAGAAAGTATTATAAAAAAGGAAAGCATGAAAACATAACTTATTATGAATTCAAAGCCTTCTATTAAAGATTAGCTGCAATACATAAAATATGTGGATAAGATTTGATGTGTAATCATCTCTAAAGATTTATTATGCGATTAGGATATACATGTTCAATATTTTCAAAAAGATAAGTAATTTATTAAAATAAAATAATAGTTATTAAAAACTAGTACGTCAGTAATAAAACCTTTTAATACAAGTGAAGATATGACAACATAATCTAAAATGACTAATACACATCAAAATTTAGCTTAGAGTAGATTCACTAGTTAATAATTTTATATGTCTGAAGAATAGTTTTATTGATAATATTAAATAATAACAATATTTCTGTTGATATTTATATTTGTTATTATTATTATATATTTGAGATTAAGTGATATTAAATAATAATGATATTATCTATTTATTTATCTATAATAATTTAGTTGAATCACCATTCAAAAATACATTTTTCTGGACTTATTGTATTACCTGGTTTGCATTAATTAAATACAGGACATGTCTTTAATAATTATATTTATTAGATACTTAACAAGGTAAATAAGATAAATAAAATTAAAATTTTTGCTACCTAAATGGATTTAATTTGAAGAAAGAATTTTCTTCTTCTATTAGTATTGAATCATATTATAAAAGATTGATTATTCGATCAAAATCCATTTCATCATAATGTTCTGATTATTAAGCTTTATAAACTCTACGTATTTCATCTAATGATGCTCTACCATCAAATTACTATTGCATAAAATAAATTAGTTTTTATTTAATTCTTTCAATCAAATCATCATCTACACCTTATTCAGCTGTTCTAAAAACATTTGTAGGTAAACTAGAATCAAGTGTTTAATTAAAATCTATCCAAAGTTTAACTCCTGTTGTTCTTCCATTAGGACGGACTGATTTAATCTTATCTCTATTTTCTAATGTTTTAATAATCTTTTCAACTTCCTTTGTATTGAGTCCAGCATTTTTAGCAAGATTTGCTTTAGTTATACCTGATTTCTTTGAGTTTAATACTAAATTGTATATTTTTTATTATTCCTCATTTAATTAAATTTCCATTTAAAAAAATTAATGTTTTCTTAGAAGTTATACTCAACATCTAATATAATTTTAGTAAGAAGAATAGATTAATAATATACATATATTGATAAATTAAATATATATTAATATTTAGTTGTTGGTTTTTATTTTAAATTATTAATTAACTGAAATGAGTAAAGTGATTGAAAATTATGTTCTTCAAGATGTAATAGGAAGTGGTCAATATGGTAAAGTTTATAGGGCTAAAAATATGAAAAATGATCAAATTGTTGCAATCAAAGTAGTCAAATTGGAAAAGTTTAGAGAGGTACCTAAATTACATGAATTTACAATTAATGAGATACAAACTCTATCAAAAATAGATAATCAAAATATAGTTAAATTTATAGAAATGCTTAAAACATAAAACAATATGTATTTGATTTATGATTTTTGTAATGGTGATACATTAGAAGCATTATTGTAAAAGAGAAAATTTCTAACAGAACCAGAAACAATGAAAATATTTGCTTAAATTCTAAATGCATTCAGGTAATTTAGTTAAATTATATATTATTAGATCTTTGGTACGTGAAAATATACTTCATAGAGATTTAAAGCCATCAAACATTCTTTTCCATGATTAAATTGTTAAAGTAGCAGATTTTGGCTTTTGCAAAAGTTTACTTCATAATAATGATCTAACCTAAACTATGGTAGGTTCACCAATCTATATGGCTCCAGAAGTATTAAAAGGATGTTCTTATAATTGTAAAGCTGATGTTTGGTCTTTGGGAGTTGTACTTTATGAATGTTTATTTGGATTTTGTCCATATGAAGATAAATCAATTGCTAGATTAATAATGTAAATTGATAACAAAGAAATTTCATTCCCAAAACATGTAAATCAATTATCAAGAAAATGTGAAGAACTTATACGTTCTATGTTATAAGTTGATCCTCGTAAAAGAGTAGACTGGCAATAATTAATGCAAATCACATTTTATGAAGAACCTAATGTAGCCAAATAAATTACTTGTAGTGCTAATACTAATCCAATATAGAATTTACCTTAAATGCTTAAAAAATAGGCTTCTACAAATTAAGTTTTATAAGATAGAACCAATATAACCAATAATTAGCCTTAGTAATAATAATAATAATAAGACTTTTAAAATTTAAGGGTACTTTTAAGGGAAAGAAGTAAAATTATATTTTTAGCCTAAATGGTATCTTTTCTATTAGAATAAAATACAGTTTCTGCTGTTCAACTTCATGGTAGCTTGTCTTTTTCGTAAAAAACTGCTATTATTGCTTACTTTCTTATGAAATTAGCATAAAACCAAACTGAAGTAATAAAAAAACAATTAGAATAAGATCACAGAAGAGAAAGCAGATGGGATGAATTTTAAGGTAGCAATGAATATAAATAATTTAATTCTACATTTCAAAGAGAAAGTGATTAATTATTAATGAATATTGAATCATTTAAAAATGAAGCATAAAAAGTCATTAGACATATGCAACAAAATGATTTAACTACTTAAATTAGAAATGAATTAATGTCTCCATAATTTACAAATTTGAAATTATATACTTCTTTATTAATTAGTTATATTGAAGAAAGTAGAGAAAGATAAGTAAATTTAACTGAAGACTTATAATAAAAACTATTAATTGGTCTTATTGATTTATTAGAGACTAGTTAAATAAATGAATTTTTCGATAAAAATTTAAGTGATATCAATATTAGATTTAATGATTAAAGATATTTTGAATAAGTATTTTAATTTCATTTATCAATTAGATGAGAAAAATGCCAAAAGAAACTCTTACAGATATCCTTAATTAAAGATTAGTTAATGCAAAGATTAAGTGTGCTAAATGAAATGTTTTATAATTCAAATATAATCAATTTTATTTTTTTTAAAAGTATGAATGATTGGAAGCTTAATGCACATCCAAACGATCAACTTGATTATAAGCAAGACAACCTCTAATGAATTCTTTGCATTCATTTGAAATTATAGGTTTCTAAGGAAAAGTTACTGATTGAGATTTTACAATTATCTATGATTTAAATAAAATATACTTATTCTTTTAATATCTTTTCTTAGCTGATACCTTAGCCAAATGGCTTTTAACCGAACAGCATCTCAAAAAATATTACTCCAATACTCCAAATATCCACTTTGCTAGAAATATTTGGAGGTTAGTCACCCATATGAAAACATTCAGGAGGCAAATACCAATATGTACCAACTCCTTGAGAAGTAAGTTATAATTTTGAATTGTCATCTTCTAAAACTTTACATAGACCAAAATCTGAAATTTTCAATTCATTTAGATGGAATAAAATATTCTATGGTTTTAAATCATAATGAATAATTTTATTCTTATGATTATTCAAGTATTTAATAGCAGAGATTATTTATCCAATCAACAATTTTGCTTCCTTTTCTGGAAAGCATTTATACTTTTTAATATAATAAGAGAGATCTGGACCGTCACACAATTCTAAAACTGTACAAAAAGAAGATTTATCAATTTCAACAGAATCATATAACTTTACTATATGAAGATGATTTAATTCCTTGTGAACTCTATTTTCACGAATTGCATGTCTTATGTAATTTTGTTTTGCATGATCTGACCAATTAGAATTTAATTAATGAATTTTACATGCTACTTCTCTTAATTCTTAAAGATCATAGGCCTAATTTAAATGATTATTTACTTTATAAACCTCACTGAATCCACCTTTTCCTAATAGACTTAAAACCTAATATCTTTCACCAATTAATGGATAATCATTATTTTTTGTAAATCTTGCATGTTCTTCTTCATAAACTCTTTTTAATTGTTTTATATGCAAATTCTTTTCTGTTTCTAATCTCTCAACTGTTTCGTATAGTTATTATTCCTCTTTAACTAAAAAATTTAGCTTAACATTTAGAGTTCTCATTTCTTATTCTTCTTTATTTTTTGAGTTTTTCTTTTTGTTTTCTATATCTGTTTTTAAATTCTCTAATTTTTTTGACTATTCTTTGGCATCCTTCAATTCTTGTCCATCAATCCAAACATCAACTAAAGCTGTTTTCTCTCTCTAAACCACATACTCACCAAGTCTAACTCTATTTGTTTGCAATTAGGTTTATAATTATTATTTTTTAAGTTTTTCATTCTCTATAGCGAATAATTTAACTACATCTTACATTTTTAATTGTTACTCAGTCAAAGTCTAAAATTATTTTCATACATACCGATATAGTTTCACGAAGTTCAGAGTTATGAGTTTCTAATTCTTTTATTTTTATTTCAGAAATTGCAATTTAGTTTTATTTTTCTTTTAGTTATTTTTCTATATTTGGATCGTATGGTAATGGACTTTTATTTTTAAATGGAGAGTCTTAGATTGAATATTCGATTAATTTTTATTCGGACTTCTTTGCTTTTTATTACTTTTTTTAATACTACAAATACTAAGTGATCTATGAATTTTTTCAATCAAAATACATCTTTTTATTATCCTTCTTTAGGTTTTTTCTTTTTTTTTGACTATGAATGCTTCTTAGTAATTATGCTTTTCTTTTAAACAGGACTCAAATTCTATGATGGAAATAAATTCTATGGAGAATTTTCGCTGTTTAATGAACATTTTAAGTCATCAGACTTTTTATTAGAATCTACATTCAGCTTATTACGATCATTTTCATCTGTTTGCTTCTCACTTTCCATCTATAAGTATTGCTCTTATATGATTTCCTCTTTCGATTTCTTATGAATTCTAGCTTCTAAACAAATAAGTCTATCTAGTTATTCTGGCGGCAATTATTGATGCATTATAATTAATTAAATTATTAAATTTGAGCACAATAACAAATAATTAAAATTTTTATATTATTAAATATTAAATGCAAAGAAAAAGTTTAACCAAATCTTTGATCAAATAATTAGAAATTCAATAAAGTTATTATTAAAAATTGTTAATACAACATTCAGTAAACTTTTTAACTATTAGATATGTTTTATATTTTTTCATACTAATTAATAAGAAAACAGATTATGTTGATAAGGTATTTTTTTAGATATTTTATTATAAATCGGATGTTATGCGATAATTATTATTATTTAAAAAATATATCATATTAAAAACTTAAGTATTTACTTCTTGAATGAATGTTATTTTCATTTGAAATAATTAAATTATGTTTTTATGATAAAGTTTGATATTCAGATCTTAAAAGTTTTAATATCAAATAAAGTTAAGATGGTGATAAAGAATATTAAAAAAAATTACTTTATAAAAATATTTCATTAATTTTAAATGAAAAATTTATATATATAACCAAAAGGTTAATAATAATTATAATTTTTTTCTAGCATAATCAGAACAAATAAGGAATCAAAATAAACAAGTTAAATATTAAGAAGAAAAATGTTTAATTCAAAATGAGTAATTGTAATTTAAAATCCATAATACAATCAAAGAATCAAAATGTTAATTTTCTTCAATTGACACAATTTCGAAGAATTTATGCTTGACTTCTCATCTTAAGCATTAATTAATACTTATAATTTCGAAAAAATGCTCATCAACAATAACTCAAGAAAAATTTTGAAAAAGTAATTCCTAATATAAATAAAATAAGAATATTCCCTAAATAAAAAAGTTCAAAAAAACTTTTCCTTTATTAGTTTATCTATACCTAATCTATTGATATTTTAAATATATTTTTTTTAGAATAAAAATATGATTGTTTAAAGGGATTAAGTTTATTGAAGTCTTAAAAAAAGAATTTCAGGTTAAGTTTTTAAATCATCAAAAATAAAATTATTAAATATTTGCTTTATGTGAATTATTAGAAATTTTTGTTATCTAATTGTTAAATAGGCTAATGAAAAACATTCTTATCACATTTATCAAAATCATTTATTAATTCTATATTAGAAGTATAATTTATATTTTAATAAAATTGATCATTTTTATTGAAAATCAATAATATTAGATGATTTAGTTTTATCTGCTTAAATCAAGATTAAATTTGATCATAAATATAATTATATTATTTTTATTCGATATTAAATGGTTATTAATTTTTTTATATTTATTCCTAGTAGATTTTATATCTTAATCATATTTTCCTTCATTTTTTATTGAGTTACCATAAGAAATAATATGAAGTATACCTTTTTGTTTGATTAGCTTTGCGCTGATTTTAAATTTTATTCTAGATTATTCTTATTTGATTAGTATGAGTCATTTATTTAAATCTTTGATGAGTTAATCCAAAAATTAATATTTTATTTAAATATGAAAAGAATATAAATCCTTTTGCCTTCAATTGCCATGTATACTCTATATAATTATTTCTAGAGTTATAGGAATTATAACACTTATGACTAGAAGAAAGTCTGATGCATTACAAAAATTCCTAGGTTATGCGGCCATTTTACTAGGATTAGGGTAATTATTTAAAATAAATGTTTTAGTATATTAATGTATAGCTCAAAAGCAATTTTATTATCAATGGTATAATGTTTCATAATCCAAATAGTATCAAAAATTTATTCAAGATGAAGTTAACATATAATTGCAGTAGCCAAAGAAGCTGAGCTAAAAGTAATAATAAAAAAAAAAATCCTAATACAAAAGTGACTAATAGTAGAAATAATAGCACCAATAAAAGCAATAAATGAGATAATCTGAATAACAATAATAGTTTGAATAAGATTCTCCTCAATCATCAGAAGGGGAAGCCTAAGAGGATGAGTAAAAATTAATTGAATTAGAAAAATAAGCAGAATTAGAGAAGTAAAAATTGCTACAAGCTGAATAAAGTGTAAAATAAACTCATCAAAAAAAATCAGAAGTAGATAAATAAAAATAAACAACATAAAAAGAAGATACACAAATTAAAAGACCACAATAATAATCAATACAATAAAAGGCTCCAACCTAAAAAGAAAAGATTGTATTTATTATTTTATAATAAAGAATCCTGAAAATCAATCTCTATAAGATAAAAAATAGAAATAAAAATAAGAAAAATAAAAATTTAGAGTTGAGATTGAGGAGGATGAAAATGATGAAGAATGGGTAGAAGTTGGAAATAAAAATAAACATGCTCCTCAACAACAATAAAAAAATTAACAAGAGAAACAATAATTATAAGGAATTAAATAAACATAAGGTAATTTTTTATTTAATCTTAGACTTAAAATAAGAGGATACTAAGTAGCAAGTGATCAAAAAAAGTTAACCATCAAATCAGCCTTAATAATAGCTATAATAATAAAGCATACCTTAAAATCCATAATAAAAATAATAACCATAGTAACCTATAACAAGCTCTTCCTAAAAGGTAGTGTAACAAAAATAATAACAAATACCAATCGTATAAGGACAATAAAAAACCCTTAATTTAGTATAAGATCCATCATAGTAAAAACTGAATGAGAATGGTAAAAATTAAAGTAAATAACAAAAAAAGCAATAAAAAAAAATAGTTGATGATTAAAATGATGAGGAGGAAGGGTGGATATCTGTGGAACCGAAACAAATTAAGAATAAGTAATTAGTATATTGTATATTTAAGAAACAAAGCAGAAGATGCAACTTAATAATAAGCAGAAGAAGTTAAATATATAAAAAAAGAAGGCTTACTTACCAAAGAAGAAAAATAATAATTAAAAGAAGAAGCTAAAAAAATTGAGGAAGCATATAAATTGAGAATTCAATAAATTGATGATATTCATAGAGCAAAAGTCATCTCAAAACTTACATAATACGAAATAAAAAATGCTGATTAATTAATCAAAACTTAATACGTTGCAGCACCACCAAAAATAGAATATAAAATGCTAGAAATTTAACCAAAGAAGTTGACAAGAGAGGAGATTGATCAATTAATCTAATCAAAAATGCCCTAAACTAGATTAACAGGCTCTAATGAAGTTTTTGTAGAAAAATCAGAACCACTCCCACAATAAAATGCTAAATAAACAGAAGTTAAGAAAGTTCAACTAAAATCAAAAATTAATTTCCTTAAACCAATCTAACAAGAAAAAACGGAAGAGAAATTATATACTGACCTACCCATTACATTTGAAACAAACAAAGACAATTCAAAACCTTTTTTCTCTACATAGGTTATTCTAACTGTTAATACAAATGGAAAAGATCTTTTTGGAAGAGTCAAGAGATATAGAAGGCCAATATAAGAAAAAAAACAACCAGAGCAAAAATAAAAAGAGATTTATCAGGCAAAAGAAAATGAATTGAAATAAAAATCAGATGATAAATAGGTAACTGAGTAATCAGTGTAAAATCTAAAACAGGTGTAGTAAGTTTCAAAAAATATAGAAAATTAAAGCTCAGAAATAGCAATTATATAAACTTCAAAGTAGCAAGATTTGTAAGATAATGAAAAAAAAAATACCAGTTCCATATTGTTAAATAAAGCTCAAACAAAAGATCAAAAGCAAGAAAGTTCTAATACAAAAAAACCATAAGTTAGATTCGAAGAAAGACCAATTTATGAACCAAAAACACAACAACCATAAGAATAAGGTTTATAGGAGTTCAGTCATACCACTTCAAATCAGAAAGCCTCTGATTAAAAGTAAAAGTCAAATTAAAAATAAAAGCAACCTTAAAAAAATTAAAAACCTTAAGAAAGAGATTTATATGAAGTTAAGTAAGTTCAACAAGTTTAAAAAGTAGTTCAAAAAAAAGTAGCTCATTAATCTTCAAATGAACTCTATGTACCAAAAGTATAAAAGATAGAAGAAAATTAATAAAAAAATTAAACTAATTAATTAAGTTAAGATGATTGTTAAAAACAAAGTATTTAAAATAAAAATGATGATAAACATATTGACTAAGAAACTCTATAATTATAGGAGTAATAAGAGATAAATATGTTAAAAGAGATAGATATTTAGTGCGAATTGAATTTGTAAAGTGGAAACCAAGATATATAAATTGAACTGTAATAAGGTAACCAAGAATTAGTTTTTTAAAATGATAAAGAAAAATTAATATTTTAAAATAAAAATTAAGAAAATTAAGTAGAATAATTAGTTTAAACTGGATCTAATCAACCATAGTTTGTGGAAGAAGAAGAGGTATTTGTTAGTAAAGATAAACCTATTGAAAATCAAGAAAATGTTTAATAATAATCATAAAATTAAGTAGAATAATTAGTTTAAACTGGATCTAATCAACCATAATTTGTGGAAGAAGAAGAGGTATTTGTTAGTAAAGATAAACCTGTTGAAAATCAAGAAAATGTTTAATAATAATCATAAAATTAAGTAGAATAATTAGTTTAAACTGGATCTAATCAACCATAGTTTGTGGAAGAAGAAGAGGTATTTGTTAGTAAAGATAAACCTGTTGAAAATCAAGAAAATGTTTAATAATAATCATAAAATTAAGTAGAATAATTAGTTTAAACTGGATCTAATCAACCATAGTTTGTGGAAGAAGAAGAGGTATTTGTTAGTAAAGATAAACCTGTTGAAAATCAAGAAAATGTTTAATAATAATCATAAAATTAAGTAGAATAATTAGTTTAAACTGGATCTAATCAACCATAGTTTGTGGAAGAAGAAGAGGTATTTGTTAGTAAAGATAAACCTGTTGAAAATCAAGAAAATGTTTAATAATAATCATAAAATTAAGTAGAATAATTAGTTTAAACTGGATCTAATCAACCATAGTTTGTGGAAGAAGAAGAGGTATTTGTTAGTAAAGATAAACCTGTTGAAAATCAAGAAAATGTTTAATAATAATCATAAAATTAAGTAGAATAATTAGTTTAAACTGGATCTAATCAACCATAATTTGTGGAAGAAGAAGAGGTATTTGTTAGTAAAGATAAACCTATTGAAAATCAAGAAAATGTTTAATAATAATCATAAAATTAAGTAGAATAATTAGTTTAAACTGGATCTAATCAACCATAATTTGTGGAAGAAGAAGAGGTATTTGTTAGTAAAGATAAACCTATTGAAAATCAAGAAAATGTTTAATAATAATCATAAAATTAAGTAGAATAATTAGTTTAAACTGGATCTAATCAACCATAATTTGTGGAAGAAGAAGAGGTATTTGTTAGTAAAGATAAACCTATTGAAAATCAAGAAAATGTTTAATAATAATCATAAAATTAAGTAGAATAATTAGTTTAAACTGGATCTAATCAACCATAATTTGTGGAAGAAGAAGAGGTATTTGTTAGTAAAGATAAACCTATTGAAAATCAAGAAAATGTTTAATAATAATCATAAAATTAAGTAGAATAATTAGTTTAAACTGGATCTAATCAACCATAATTTGTGGAAGAAGAAGAGGTATTTGTTAGTAAAGATAAACCTATTGAAAATCAAGAAAATGTTTAATAATAATCATAAAATTAAGTAGAATAATTAGTTTAAACTGGATCTAATCAACCATAATTTGTGGAAGAAGAAGAGGTATTTGTTAGTAAAGATAAACCTATTGAAAATCAAGAAAATGTTTAATAATAATCATAAAATTAAGTAGAATAATTAGTTTAAACTGGATCTAATCAACCATAATTTGTGGAAGAAGAAGAGGTATTTGTTAGTAAAGATAAACCTATTGAAAATCAAGAAAATGTTTAATAATAATCATAAAATTAAGTAGAATAATTAGTTTAAACTGGATCTAATCAACCATAATTTGTGGAAGAAGAAGAGGTATTTGTTAGTAAAGATAAACCTATTGAAAATCAAGAAAATGTTTAATAATAATCATAAAATTAAGTAGAATAATTAGTTTAAACTGGATCTAATCAACCATAATTTGTGGAAGAAGAAGAAGTATTTGTTAGTAAAGATAAACCTGTTGAAAATATCTAAACAAATAATATTTTAACTGAATCTATAACCTCCTTCCCTATTTAATCAAGTTTATAATAATAATAGTAAGATATTGATAATGAAGTAGAAATCATATAGAAAGGAGAATTGAATCAAGCTTAAAATGATAGTACTGAATTCATACCTGCCCAATAATCATCTAATCTATAATAAAAACAAGATTTTAATTAAAAACTTCTTTCACGATTAGATGCTCCTAGTCCAATCGATAGAGAATAAAAGGTTACATCCATGTCTAATATTATGCAAAATGAATTTTCTTAAGATATGAAAGAGGATTCTTCTTTTCTAGCTGAGATGGATTAAAAATAAAGAGTTTTGCCTGGATATTTAGACTTAACTTTTAATAGTAGAAAGAAGTTAATTAATAAAAATATACCAGTTATTTACAGAACAGAACCTGGAAATGAAAACATTTTAGAATTAGAAACAATGAGCTTAATTTTGGATGGATGCAAAGAAATAATTGCTGATGAATATGTAAATTACTTAGAAAATGTAAGAAAAATTAGAAGAAATGCATTAAACTAAAAAAGATTTACTGACTATATTAAATTTGTTATTTAGATGGCTGAAGAATAGTTTAGGATAATATAAGAAGGCTTTAACTGTATTGCATAGAGTTTGAATATTAATGAAGAAGCATTTTAAAATTCTTTTCTATTTTACTCGTAACATGAAGAATTTGGAAAAGAATTTGTTGAATAATTAACATTTGTATAATAAAATATGAAAGACATTCCTCAAATCAAAGTGTCTTTAAGGAAACAATAAGGAATCGAACTTATGAAATATTAAATTGATGTAATAGAATACTATACAAAACACGAATATTTTGGTTAAATTTTAGATCTTTTTAATGTAATAGTTTATAAATAATTATTAGGAAATGGAAGACGTTTAAGACGCTAAACCTGTTCTATTAAATACATTGATTGATGATATAATTTATGAAAAATATGGATATGAGGAAGAGGATAAAATAAATTTTATGAGTAAAATTTTTAATTATTATGTAGAAAAATATCACAATGAAAAAGAAGTTAAGAATCTGCAAGCTAAATTAGAAAATTTAGTTGAAAATTTATTCAATATTTAATTGGAATGACTATTATAAATATACAATAAATGAGCAATTTCGATTTACTTATTTTAGTTAAATTCAAAGTTAAATTTTCTTTTGTTTTGTATATAAATAATGAATCAAAACAAATTTAAAGAGCAAATTATGGTTTAGTTTCTACAAATATGTTTATCTACAAATTTCTTTTGTTTTTTTCTTTTATACCATCCAAATTATGTAAATATTAAGGATAAATTATTATTTAATCCTTATTTATTGTTTTAGTTTATTAGTCTTTTTCAGTTTTAATCTATGAATATTTTTCGCAGATATAATAACAAGCTAATTCTATCCAATTTGTTGTAATTCTATATCTAGTAAAATATACTAATTGTATTTCCTCCTCCTTTTAAAAATCAATTTCATTTGATTGTCATTTCTCTATATATATTCATCAATCTTTCCCTAGAATCTTAATTCCATTAATTGGAATAAATAGTTTGAAATTGATTCTTCATCTAAATCATTATATCGCAGGTATTAACAAAAATGCCTTATTTAGTAATAATAGCCTTGCTTGTCCAATTTTTTTTTAATTCTAAATGTGTCATCCTGACTTATATTTTGAATCAAAAGTGCATTCTTTGCTAACTTATAGAATGTATCTGATATTTCATCGCAACTAATACCATAATTATTAGATATAAAACTTTATAATTTTTTAATTTCTTTTTAGATTATTTATCCAATTTAGGTAATTCTATGGAGCTTTATTTGATATTATACTTGCCTCACCTAAATAAGTTTAAATTATTAATCTTTCGTTTTTTTATTCTTTATCTTTAATTAATCTATTCTTTCCTTACATTCATTCTTATACATTCATAATATTCTTTGAAAAAATGGGATAGTGTTAAAAAGATGAAATAATTATTGAAAATGAATGTAAATGATTTTTGATTTTACTTTTTTAGATCACATATATCTAAAAGAAAAATTGGGAGTAATTCAATTATAAAAAAGTAAAAAATTGAAGTATATTAATTAAAGTATTTTTAACGAATATTAATTAAAATTAATGATCCTAGGAGGAGCAATATCACAGTGTTTGCTTGAAATAAAGGAAAATTGTCCTTCTTTGCAACACGTGAACTACAGTCATAAAAAATCATTTAGACATTGTTTAGATTCAATCACCTAAAAGATTCCAATAGTAAAATCAATACATAAACTACGATTGGATTAGGAATAAAAAATATATTAGAATATACACAAAATAAAGAAATTGAATTTAATGAATGAAATACATCAAGTAAATCCTAAATTACATAATGATTTAAAATAAATTTAGTATGATCAACTGACCCTGAAATATGGTATCATAATAATTAATATATAAGCTGAATACAAACAATAGTAAGAATAATGCACTGAGACATTATCTGATACTCAAGATAGTTATATTAAGTATTAACAATAGTTAGATAATCATGGATCAGGATTGAAAATATTTTAACACAGACCTCTAATTCGTAATATAATGGAAGAATTTGATTAAGAAGATAGCATCTACAGTGATTCATATATCAATAAATATTTGGATCTTAATTGAGTATTATATAATTAATTGACCAAATAATTATTATGAGAACAAAGTTTCACACTCTATCTATGCCTTTAAAAACGAGCATCTTAAAATCTGAACATTCAGAAGAATTAAGAAATAAGAAATAGGCAAACAACTCAAATTATTCTTAATTAAGACTAGATGATTTAATAATTGATAAACCTTAGGAATTCAGAATAAAAACAAGTTCAGATATCAAAATGTAATAAGTTTTATATAACAAACGACGTTTAGCATAACCTACAAATATAGAATGGATGTATAATTACAAATCTAAAAACAAATTGAATAAATAATCTAAAATGAGTGAATATCTAAAGTCAGTTATAGAAGAAAATAAATTAAAACCTACAATTGGACAATTCCCTTTTGTAAAAATACAACATTTAACACACAGTGATATAATTAGGGAAAAACATGATCTTAGAAAGAAAATATTTTAAAATCCTAGAAAAGTAAGATCCTAAATTAAATGATTGTGCGTTTATCTTTATGTTATAAATTTATTCTCATATAGAAAATATTATTAGCTAAATAGTATCTTTAGGATCAAGTTAAATTGTTAATGTATTAATTTAAATTCTTCTTTTAGAACAATTTTTACATCATAAGATAATAAAATAAATTAACTTAAATTATAAATATATATTAAAGTAGGAATAATTACAAGTTAATACCATAAGATATACAATAAATATAATAAATCATACATTAAATTGAATTAAGTTTATTTCTTCAGTTAATATTGCATAATCATATGATTTTTGATCAACATTCATTGCTACTTTATCTATTTATTATTTTAAGTGTTGAATTTCTGAATCTATTTGTTGTTTTTCTTATTGATCTCCTTTTAATTCTCGAATTTAAATATTAAGATCAACTATTTTTTAAAGTTCCTCTTTTAATTGGTTTTTAAGTTAAACATTTTCATCAAATAAGTTTTTATAAGTTTTTAATTTGGATTTAATTTGATTTCTAAATTCTTCTGACTTGAATTCAATTAGACTTTTTTGCTATTATAAGCTGCTATATTGACTTAATAAAATTTGATTATCACATTAAATTTTCATTATTTATTCATTTTATCCTCTATATTTTTATAGCAATTATTAAACAGCATAAACAATTGAATCACAATCTTATTAGACATCAAGTAGTAATGATAATTCTTTTACCATTTATCTATATTATGCTAATTAAGCTTCATCAAATTATTTAGAACTTTATCTTGGAGTAATACTATTATTTTTAAATTCCATAATAGGTTGTGGAGGATCTATTCTGTGATCTGGACTACTTTAAAATTCTTCGCTTTCATCTAGAACACTATTTTACATAACTTATTTATAATCTTCCAATATTTTTTATTGCTTTATGCTTGAAGCACTACTTTTACTTAGATTGCTGCTAGTAGGTTATAATAACTATTATTAAGGTTGTTGTTAAATGAATTGTTGTTGTTATTGTTATTATTGAAGTGTAACAGGTTGGGGTTAAGGTTAAGGTGGTAATTTTTTGTGTTAAGGGGAACGAGAAGGTTAATTTTTGTTAGGTTAAGGGCTTCCATAACGTTTCTTATTAATTATAGGTTCTGATTTATTCATGGACATCATATGATAATTATCGATCCTATTGTTCATTGGAGGTATTTATTTTGCAGAATTACGTACTTCTGTTGTACATCGTAATACGATATTCATTATGTTACCATGTTCAAGTTCTATTTTATGAGAAACTTCTCTTCCTTAAACTTCATTAATAAGCAATTTTGAACTGCCTAAAAGTTTAATATATCCTTATTCATCAGGAATTTCAATATAAAATTACAGCTAACAAATGAATTATACTTTAATTTTACAAATTTAGTGTTTTGGTTATCAAATACATATTGATGAGGCTAGGAATATTTGATTATTTTTTGAGTTGATGAAAATTATTAATACAATATTTCCTTCCTTTCACCTAATTATAATTAAGAATTTTACCGCATTTGACTCCAATATTCATTTAACAATTGCCCAATGCTTATTTTAGACTGATTTATGATATTGATATCTCAATCATTTAATAATTTTTAACTAATATAAATTATTTATTATATTATATTTTAACTGAAAGATATTTAATATATTTATTAAGATCTATATAAACTAAGTTCAGATGATTAAAATAATTAATGAATAATTTTATTTTCAGCAATTAAATGAGGTTTATAATATTATATTAAATAAACTATTTAGACCTTAACCTAATATATAAATTTAGAATGAAATGACAACAATATCAATTGATCCAGCCACTAGATTATCATAACTTTTAATACTTTTAACATTTACAAATGCATATATTTTAATATACACTACTTATTTAATGTTGGACTATGAGCTAATAATATTGATAGTGTTCTATTGGATTATTGACATAATTGTTATTTTAACTCTCTCAATTTTGAAAATCAAGTTATCATTCTTTTATATTTTAGATATAAAATTACAGTAGGGAATCTATTGATTGATACATTTTTGGCAGCTATTTTCAAAACTACAATCCTAATTAACTTCACCTACTCTGAACTAGATATTCAATATTTTAGCTATGTTATCATGGCATATTACTTTATCAGATCGGTCATTATTAATATTAGAAAAATAGCAACAAATTAAACAATTACATAATACTCCTTTGTATAATAATATACATAAAATTATAGCTTGTTTAAGGTGTAAAAATATTGCTTGTACTCTAATTAATGCTAATAACTATGAGATGGAAGTGTACAATTTATTGGAGTTGGTATACAACATTTAGCATTGCTTGGGGTTTATTAGTTATAAGCTTTATTGTGCATTTTGTTTTTCTTCTATCGATAGGTGAAACCTTAATTGATTACTATAAAAAAAAGACAACTAAAACATAATTAGTTGGAGGAATTTGGTTAACATTTTATTTATGCGGATTTAGTGGAATTCCAATGTGGTTTTGTTATATAATCTGTCAAAATCAAGAAGTAAAGAATTTCTAAACAGCTGATTAAGCTACTTTATTATGTATTTTAATAGTTTCTTATAATCTTTCACTTTATGTGATTACTGCTATTTGTAAGGTCTAACTTATGTATGAAACTTTATTATATTTATAGATAATTCATAAAAGATATGGGATTTGATATTGAGGTACAATAGGAGCCAGTTGGATAGGAAGAAAAATTGCCTTATTAATTTCTTAAAATATCTTTACCATAAAAATTAATTCAAATATCTTCTACTTATTTTGATTTTGCTTAAGAGTCAAATAAATAGTAGAAATAATTATAGCACATATCCAATAGCAATTTCAGTGTTATTAATTAAAAGGCCAGACTCAAAGCTTTCGAATTTATGGCTAAGACTGAATAAATTAATTCACCAGTAGAAAGAGAATCAGGACTTGTAAAAGGTGAAGAAAAGTGTCAGATTTGTTTTGAAAATGAACCTCAAATTGTAATGCTTCCTTGTTAACATGGTGGAATTTGTGATGAGTGTCTTGAAAAATGTTTAAAGAAATCACCAAATTGTTATTTATGTAGAAAGGTATCTTATAAATTTTTATTAAGAAAATTCAAAAATTGCTTCGAGTTTCTAAGGAGGCTTCTGGGAAATTTGCAATAAATGACATTGCATTATGTGATGCATGAAATAAATACTTTATTAAAATGCGCGTTATATTGATAATTTAAAATTAAATGAGTTTAAAATAATTGTTATCAATTAAAACATCCTTGAAGCTCTCCAAACTGAAGAGACTGAAAATCTAATATGAAAATAATATTATTAGCTTTCATAATCAAATCATCAAAATTTAAGAGATTTCAAAGTTAAAGAGATTATATATAAATAATCGAAATTAGGATAATTCATATAATATATACCTAAAATTATTTTACTTTTTCAACTCTCTTTTTGATGTTGTTTCTCTTAAAACTATTGAAGATATTGCCTTTTTCAAAAGATATCAATGTTAGTTGTTTAATGGTGAACCTTAATGCAGAATTATTTCATTATGATACATAGCAATTGAAATTTAATCCTAAAGATAATTAAGAGTCTTCAAAGAAGAATTAGATTATTTATATTACTTTCTTAACACAGTCAATAACGATTATCCTAAAATGGTTGTATAACAATTAATCTATTTATTGTTCAATCTAAACTAGTAGATAACTACTAACTCAATCTTGGATTATTTAGTTATAATTTAGGTGTTTGGAAAAGATAATTTGATTTTATTAAGGAAATTTCAAAATAATCAAAATATCTTTTGTGTAAGGCATTTTTTGATTAACAAATAAATGAGGAGTTGTAATTAAAATAAGGAATATATAAATGAATTTTCAACCTTTATACCATTAGCTATTGTAAAAATGAGATCTTTATAACAGATAAGACAAATAGCATAATCTTACCTAACTTTTGTTATGATAATTTAAATTTTGATGTAATTTTATATTTCTCCAAAATAGATTTTTAAAAAGAAAATTATTCATAAGTAACATTAAGTTCAATTAGATAATATTTGATAACGTTGTATAGTTACATAAATATATAAAAATATGAAAATTTTAATATGTTACTTTAATTAACTTGATATTATAATAAGTATAAGATAAACATAGTATAGTTTAAGGATAAACTAAAAGGATTTACAATAAATTCTAACATTTTGCTAAAAAAGAAGTCATCATAAACAATTTATCAATATCAAATTGAAAACTTTAGAAAAATATATTAATATAATAGATATTCCATCAAATAGACTAAAATTGTTAAACTTTTGAAAAACCTTGTTTGCTGTCTTTTCTATTATTCCAGACAAGTTTAATGATTGGTAAAATTAATAAAAAAAGTAATAAAATATTATATAAATGATTTAGTTTCTGGAATAGGTTATTTAAGAATAAGAATAGAGTCATGAATTTGTTTTAGAAGTAATAAAATGATCAAAATCTATAATAGTTTTAGAGTAATTGATACAAATATTATTTATATTTATTGATTATTATTTCTTGATTATCTTGATGAAAATGATATCAAATAAATCTAATTAAAACTTGATTTTGTTAATAAATCAACATAATGGCGTTATTAGAATTATAAAATAAGGTCTTTTTGTTTTTTTTTTTATTAATTAATTTAATGTAAAATCCTAGTATCCTGAATTTGCAATAAGTGAAATAGTTTTAAGTTAGAAGACCTTAAATAACGAAGGGATCTCCTTTGTTAAAAGGTAACTAAGTTTAGATAGCAGGTAAAGTTTTGATAAATGGGATAGCAAACATTCGTAATTAAAGCTTATTAAGTGATTAACCTTAGCACCTAAAAATAAAGCAACAAGAAGAACAGGAACTGTAATGATTAATAATTATTTGTTTAGAGGTATACATAATCAATTCGAGAGAAGAATACAAAAGTAAAACTAATTTGATCTAAAATAATAAGTAATATTTAGTTTATAGATTTTTAGGATAATATATTTTAATTGAAATTAAGTAATGAGCATTAATTGAATTAATTGAATATGCAATTAATAAAGAAGAATAAAATTCTAAGCAATAGACTTCAATAATAATATAAAGTATTTAAATAATTGAAAAAAGATTAATGAATCTTTTATGGAATAAATTACTAAATTGCAAGAAACTAATTAGGCTTATGAATTATAAATTCATCATTTAGAAGAGAAAATAAAAAAATAGAAGTCAAAAAAAAAGTAATTGAAAGAATAGATTGATCAATTATAATAAGAATTGGATGAAATGTAAGAGAAATATCAAAATAATTCTAATCAAGATATGAATTAAGAAGTATGAATTTATTTTAGTTAAGGATGAATAATAATAATAGTAATAGAATCATATTCCTCTTTCAAGATAACAATTATATTAGTTAATGCAATATCTATACTAAGGAGATTAGTAATAGTTAGAACACCTCCATGAATATTAAGATTAAGAGATTGATCCAGATGCCATGACTTATGAACAACTATTAGAATTAGAAGAATAAATTGGGTAGAGTTACTGATTAAATTAGTAATGTGCCTAAGGGACTAACGAAATAACAAATTAAGTAATTACCAAAAAGAACATTGAATTAAGATAATATACCAGAAGACAAGTAAGAAATAGAATACTATTTATAGATGTTCAGTATGTTTATTCGAATTTAAAGAAGAAGAGAAGGTGAGAGAATTACCTTGCAAACACATATATCATTCTAGTTGTATAAAAAATTGGCTGTAGAATAATAAATAATGTCCATTATGTAAAACTGAAATCGAAATCTAAATAAATGAAAGTGATGAATAACTAAATTAATAAGATGAACAAGATTAATAGGATGAATAATAAGAGGATTAAGATTAACTGTAATCAGAAATAGAATGATTCTTGATAATTTTAAATAATTAATATCTATTTAATTGATAAACTAAACTAATCAAAATTCATTATGACTTTTTTTATTTTAAAATTCTCTTTATAAAATTAAGAGTAATAGCAGTTATTATAAATGACAATCCTAAACACAAAAGGCTAAAAATAATTTGTTTTTTAGAAATAGATCTTTACATTTAATACATAAAATCATATTTTGTTATAAGGAATGATCTTTCTCTTTTTATATCATCAAGTAAACCATTTAAATTATTCATATGATCACCCATTTAATTTAAATCTGATATTTTTGCTACTTTTTACATGTTTGCTAATTCAGATCCTGTTTTGTATGTAATATTAAATAAAATATTTTCATCTTCTAAATTTGTTAAGCAATATCTCATATGAGAAACTTTGTGATTTGATTAATGTTAATAATTATGTTCCCAAGATCCACTTCTTTCATATAGAATAGCATATCTTTTTGATACTGCTTCTTCTAATTTTATAGCATAATTTGAAGAATTTGCTCTAATTCTCAAATCAAATACATCATCTTATGAAAAATAATCTTGGAAACAAATTTATTATCCTTTATCTACTTCATAACCAAATTACAAACATTAAACAAGATCAAATAATAGTAATAAGATCATTATAAGCTAATTTTTATTATTTTTTGATGATTATTAAAATAAAAAATTACTAAACCCAAAAAAATTAATAGATATAAATTAAAGCTCATTCAACTTTCTTCCTTTGTTGGAATTTTAATTGTGAGATTTTTCTTTTTGTTTACAACTGCAGATGAAAAATTCTTTACTTTTCTTTTTATTGCTATACTATCTTCATCCCCTTTTGGAGAACATTATTATGGATTTGTAGGGGGTCTGGCTTACCTATCAGTTTTGTCTGGAATTTCAACATATGCTTTAGGCATTGGTTTATTATTCAAATTATTAATGGTTCTAATCTTTAATTTTCTCCATATACAAAATATCCCAATCACTACTAAAATAGATGCTGCACCTATAATTGCCACAAGTAATACAGTATCGCTTATCATTTCTTCTTACAATTATTTTAATTATTTATAATAATATATATTCATTATTAGAGTTCTTCCGAGACTATTTCCTCTACTAATTATTCGAAAATTATATCACTTAATTCCATTAGAAACTCTGCTCTATCATCTTCTTCAAGATACCATCTAAATTCATTTTCTTTAATCTATTTAATAAATATATTACATTTACATCTTAAATTAATAATTTATAAATCCTTTCATCCCTAATACTTGAGATATTTTCATGAATCTATTCCTATTATTAAGAATCTAAAAATGTCTTCTTTTCAAATCGATTTAATTAACTTAATGTTAATTATGAATTCTTTTCTTCCAATACTTCTTATTTTTCTTATGATATTTGATATGTATTTTCAATTGGTAAAAACCCTCCTAAAGTTTTAGACCAATTAATTATTTTATCCTCCATATTTCTCAATATAGATGGTAATTTGTCTTTTTAAACAATTACTTGATATTCTAATTATTCCCAAGGGTATGGTAATCCTTAATCTATTAATAAATCATTTATATATTTACTTAAATAATATTATCTTTAGTAATTTAATGCTTCATTGCATGCATCAAATATTGCTTTATTATGAATATTCTCAAAGTAATATTCATTATCTATTTGATAAATATTTCTATTTTAATTTAATTCGATTCTCTATTATTCAAATTTAGTAAACACAACTTAATCAATAGGAAAAGCAATTTGAGTACTTTTTAAATCTTAATTTTGAATATCATTATCAGCATCATATCCATGCATTAATTGTATTCTTTTTAATGGTCTAAATCCATAAGGAATATTAAGATTCTTAATTAAATCTTCACTATAATTTAATAAAATAAAATCAAATAGATTTTTGATATAATCTTTAATATATTAAGTTGAAGTTTTAGATTAATAATTTGACTATTAGTTTATAAATATTGACATAATTAAGTTGAATTCTGTTTTATTACTGAAAAGTTCTAAATAATTTATTTTAATATATTACCTTAACTTAGATTATTAACTACTTGATCTAAAATACTGTTGGTAATATAATTGATATGGTTATAAGTTTCATTCATATTTGTTGTAATTTCACTTAAAATATTTTTTTCATTTTACTCTTAATTTTCAATTTCCTATTCTATAATTTAATTTTCAATAATTTTTGAATCATTAAATAAAGAATTAGTTTCTAAAAGTTGTTCATCTATAAATTTTTTAAAATTTTATATTTTTGGATTATTTTCATCAATTTTAGATGCTATATGTAGATCTCGTTATATTTTCTAAATAGTTTATGCTTCTCTAATTCTACTTATTTCAATTGCTTATTTAGTTGTTCTTAAATCTTCTTTTTCTTTTTCAAGCCATAAATCTAATTCTTATTTTTTATTGGAATCTTACTTAATTTTTTTTAATTCACTAAAATATCTTAAATTAATTGCCTATTCCCTCATATCTAAAAGTTCAATTTCTTTCATTTTTAATTATGATTCTAAATTCATTATATTTGAATTTTATTAAATTTCTCTAGATGAATGTAGTAATTTTTCAGCACTAAATTCTTTAGATTTCTTTAATCTCTTAAAAGTATCATTAAAATGTTTTTCATTATTGGCTTCATATTGATTTCTAATTTTCTCATCATTTAAACTTTCATTTAATAATTTAATTTCCCTAGATTTTTTCAAATGAGAATTAACAATCTTGATTACTGTTTAAGATATTTATTATTTGACTTTTGATATAGTATCACCATCATCATTACTTTATTAAAATATAGTATCTATTTAAGAATTCCATGATTCCAATTCTTATTAAATTTATTAAATTACAGATTAAGATAATGAATTTGTTTTTTCATCTTCAATTCTAACTAAAGATTCAATCTATTCTGAACAATTTCTCTTATCCATTTATCCAAACTATAATGAAAAGTTTTCATTTTATTCAATAGGACTATTAGGTTATTAAATCATAATTAATTCAGAGATTTAATCTGATAATTTAATATCAAATTATTGATCTTGATCAGAATAAAAGTGTTATTTAGATTATTCATTTATATTAATCTATTCTTATTGATTTATATTCAAATCTTATAAAGAATTATTTCCAATTTTATTTATTAATGAAGTATTTGATATTTAATCTCCTTTAGAATTAGATATGTTTCCAACAAATTCTTATTAAAATTGATTTCTTTAATAAATATTAGAGGGATCTTCATATGATTTATTTTCATATTCTTCATCCATCATATTTTATAATTCATTAAGTATTTATTTTCTAATATATACACCTCTCCATAAACTTTATAATTTAATGGCAGCTTGATTCATAAGATGATACTAAATTACTTAATAATCTTATTCTGTGATAAAATCTAATTCAATATTGTTTTGATGTTCAATTATATATTTAACCTTATCTATTAGATATTAAGTAGGTTTAATTTTTTAAAGTTCATGAAGTGCTAATTAAATCATTTAATTATCACTGACAGCAGAATATTGATCATCTTCTTCATCCATTTCAAAAATACATTATTCTATATTATCCATATCATTCTATCTAACATTTTGGATTTATTAATATCTATGAGAAATATCATCAAATTTTTATTGCAACTACTTAGTTTTATTTTTGACTTGTCTTAAATTCTACTAGGCATTCTCTTTTTAGGCTTCGACTTTTCTTCTCTTTATTATCCCTTTAGATGGTTACAAATTAGAGTTCTCTTAAGTCTTGCACTTTTTAAATATATCTTTAACGGATTAATTTAACTAGGCTAAGTTCTCCAATCTTTTTAATTGCATTTCGTTACTTTCTTTATTTTTCAATTTCAACCATTAATTACTATTACATGTAATTATTGTTAATTAATGCTTTCTTTTAAATTATGTAAGATTATAGTTTTATATTAGGTTCATATGGCTTCTTCTTAAGTGGTTGTTCTATTATCTTTTCTTTTTATTTTATTTTTTCTAAAATTAAATTTGAAATTACTCATTCGTTGCTTAATTTATTTTTCATTTAATTCTCCCAATCCCATTTATTCTCTTCTCTTTTATTATGATTTAGGTTTATTCATTTGAATACAATCAACTGTTTATGCTTTAGTTTTTTTTGGGGAAATAGTTCGCTTTGTTTATTTTTTTACTGAGATTGAACTTTAGACAGGTTTTAAAAGTTGAACTGTATTTGCTATTCCTTTACCTCCCTATAATCCTTAAAGAGGTTTCTGCTTTTATAATATTTTTTAAGGTTCCATTAATTTCAAATTGACAAATTAATCCAAAAAGGATTCTGGAGAATGATGCTTTTAATTAGGTTAATGTTTGCAAAGCATAACAGCTACATTTGGCTCTTGTATTCTTCTTCCAAATATTTAAGACTCAATGGATCTTAACTATATTACAAATTTTACTTAACAGAGTTATTAGACCTTTACAAAAATTACATTATATTTTTATTACTTCAATTCTTATTTGAAGATAATTAAATTATTCAAATTATTCTTTATGATCCTATTAAATAAATACTCATTTTAGATATTTACACAGATTTTCAATTATAAAATAATGATCATCTTAATAAAAAGAATGAATTCTTATTTCTGTAAACAATATATATTTTCATTAATAAATATTTATATTATTTATGATCAAATTTATGTTTCATATAAAATTTGTTATTTATTTTCAAATTAAATAAATAGTATATAATAGAGTTTTATACTTCAAGATCTTTGATAAAGAATATTTTTATTAAATAAATAATATCCTAAAAATGTATAATTTATTTATGAATTCTTCAGATGCTTTTGTAATGATTTGGATTATAAAGATATAATCAATAACTTATAATACAGTATTATCTATTTAATCCCAATATCATATGAGACTAAATATGTGGGATCATATACTCATTTGATAATTGAATGAATATTTAAATAATAAATAGTAATTCATAAATCTCTATTATAATATGATTTATTGTATTCTTAAATTGATGAATTGTTATTGATTCATTGATAGAAAATAAGAGACAAAATAAATAATGATAAATACTATTTCTTTTACTTAATAGATAAATCATCATTTTATTCACAAACCTAAAAATAATTAAATACATTAATAAGGTGGAAATACTAATTATCTTCTGTTTGAATGAGTGAATTAATATTTTAAATAGTATTTATATATGAAAGTAGTCTTTGTCTAATGATTGTATTTTATCAAATGTTTAAATAATAATAATAATAAATTTTATGTCATACATTGGAATCAATACATCTGGTGGGATAAACCCTTGTATCACTTTTTATGAGAGAATGCAAGCTTGTATTAACAAAGAAAATTTGCCAAATAAAATGTGTGCAATCGAAGGACTAGATTTCTTGGAATGTGTCAATCGAAGAAAATAAGTAATGTAAAATTGAATTATTTTAGTATGCACTTAATTATAAAATCTAATAAGAATTGCACAAGAATAGAATATTAGTATTACCAACTTATGATGTCGAAAATGATAGATTTGTATCAAAATATTAAAATGCAACAGAGGTGTTTTAATAAAAACATTGAAAATATTACAAATACACAGAAATATTAAATATCCAAAATACTCATTATTATGATAACTTAGCAGGTCTCAAAAGAAATGCTTCTAAGTCTTCCCAAAATGTATTTACCACATCAATATCTTGATACCTTTTGCTTCTGTGTAAATCTAAAACCTTTACATTCCATTGTTTAATTAAATCTTTTATTTTGTCTTCTTCAAATTTCATATGATATCCTCTAATACTAAAAAAGAGATATATATATAATAATTACTTTTTAAATAATTGATTAGGATTTTGATCAGGAAATTGTTTCAATTCATAAGTAGATCCTCTCAAAAATACAGCAACTACTCTTTTCCAATTAGTAATTGTATTAGGAGTATCTAATACTATAAATTATTATTCACTGAAAATAAGAAAATATTCTTTACATATCAGTTAATCTTAATTTGACTTTAATTTAAACAGATCTAGATTCATTAGTAAATTTAAGTCCATTAGGATCTATATATTAACCTTATTCTAAGAATTATTACACATTTCTTAAACAAACATTTCCTAATTCAGCTATTTGAGGGACTATAATAATAGGTTTTTCTTTTGATTTAATGAATTCATTCAATACAGAATATGATAATTTTGCACTTGATAATTATTTAGCTTTATTAACATCTTAAATTCTGGTTCCAAGAATTTATTATAATTCTTCTTCATCTCCTCCTACTCCTACATATTAACCTTAAAAGATCTTTTTATAGTTAAAATATAATTACTTTTTATGCTGTTTTTAGAATATCATCAAATGTTCTATCTTAAACTCTAAATAATCTATTTCTGGTTGTAATTGGTTTTTCAAATCTCAAAATCTCATCAAAAACTTTTAAATTGAATTCTTTTTCAGTAAGTGGCTAATTTCATAAAAAAAAATAGATTACTTCTTTCTCTTAATCAGGCTTAACTTTTTTTTAACTTGCAAATTCAATATCATCATCTTTTTGGAGGGATTTCTTATTTTATGGGAGTGGCTTTTTGTCTGCATTAATACAATCTGTATAATCTACTTTACCAGTAAAATATTCAATTATGTCTTAATTATCAGCCTTAAAAACCTATTCAAAATTTAGATCTAATGCTTTCTTTCTATAATTTTTTTATTCCAAACCCTATAAATGACAATCTAAAAAACACCATAAGGCACCAAGTGTGTATTCTTATCCTGATTTAGATTTCCATGCTGTTTCCTATTAAATAATTATAAATCTATTTACAGTCGAACATTTAAATTCAATACTATTATCAAATAGTAATCTATGTTCTGTATTTTTGCTTCTTAATTTAATTTATTTATGATGAATGACATGATCTCTTAATAATTCTAAAGGGTCATTCCTTCCTTTTCTAAACATTTAATTATAATAAATAAGAATTAATAATTATCATCTTTTGATTTTAATAGCTAATTTAGAATTTTAATAATAATAATGATGGTCATATAAATAAATATATATAAATTAAGATCTATATATATATATATATATAGAATAAATATGATTAAGTAATGTATGTATTTGAATTATAATAATTAAATGAATAAAATATTTTTACCAAAACGACGGAAGATTCTATAATGTAATGAGAACACTGTTGAATCATAATTATAAACAACTAGATCAGTTGCTGTAAATAATATTTCTTCAATGCTCAGTCAACCAATCACGATGTGCCTAAGATATTTATTAAAACAGAAGAGAGTGAAAGTGTTTAGATTCCAAAAGATACCAGATTAAAAAATTGGAATGATGTTTTTGGTGATTTTTTATCTGAAGCGTTGTTGAGAAGAAAATAGACTTAATTGAAAAGAAATACAGAAACAGCAATTGATCGAGCATATTTACATGAAGTTCCATTATAAATCTATAATGCTATGACTATAAGTCCATCTATAAGAAGCAATTTTACTAAATATATTATGGGAGAAATATCTGCTGAAGAATTTGTGATTAGAAAAAACTAATCTCAAAAACTTGATAAATTAATTCCAGCAGTTATTAAGAAATAAAAAAGACCAAAAATCAATGTGTATTAATATATTGTAAAATTATTAGAACATATAGAAGATCAGCAGTTACAGATGAAGGTAATCATGATGTTGCTTTTTTAAAATTATTAGATTAAAAAAATGAAGAAATGCTCAAAAAATAATAAGCATTAGATAGATTTGATATGATTAGAGATCTTATAGAAGAAAAGATAGAGATGAGAGAAAAAGAAGATCTTGTAAAGAGAAGTAGAGAATTAAAAAATGTTGGAATGATCAAATAAATGTATGATATTAGTGATCAATATATTCAAAATTTATAAAAGAAATAAGAGGAAAAAGATTTAAATACAAATAAAAGATTAATATTTAAAGGTAATTCAGTAAATATTATTAAACATTAAAATCCATATTAATTACTGAATTCAAGAAATCATTAAAATCCAAATAAAGTTAAATATGAAGCACCATAAGAAAAATATGTTATTCGTCATCTTGTTAATAAAAAAGCTAAATAATATATGGAAGAATTATTAATTAAAGATTATATTGAAAGTGAGAAAGCTAAAAAGTAAATTTATGTAAATTATTAATTCAAAAAAAATATTATGTAAAAATCTACTAAATCTGATACAACATAAACATTTGATCATAGTGAATAAAATAATATTAAACATATTTATCCATTTATATAAAAGGGTGTTAAAGGAAATTAAGTTGTTAAAAATTAATTGATTAATAATGATTTAGAATTAATTTAATATATTACTAACTATCCTAAATATGATCCATATAAAGATAAAGATGTCTAATAATAAATGTAAATAGATATTCTAGATGCTGGAGGATTATCATCAAATAGAAATATAAAACTTCCATAAAGAAAAACAGCATAATCATTCAAATAACATAATTTGAGAAACTAAGATTTAAATGCATCTTATGATTCTAGAACTGATGATGAATCATTAAATTCTATGTATGAATTTAATGTTGATAATCTATATTAATAAAGTAAAAAATTGTAAGAAAAGTTATTGGAAAAGTAATATACAGATGGTTTTAGTAAAACAATAAGAGCAATTTAAAAAAATTAACAATTAAAAAAGTATATCTATTATTATAATTAGTGATATTATTTTGAAAAACATATAAAAACTAGAAGGAATATCTCCTATTTGAAAAAAAATGATATTAGAATTTGTAATTAAAATATATATATTTCATTATTTAATTATTAACCATTCAGGTTAGAATTTCAATTCTTTAACACATCCATGACATAATTATTTAGTTTAATTTATTATTTAACATTTTTATCGTTCAGATTATGAAATTATTTTTTTTGTTTTTTCAAAAGAAAATAATAAATAAGGTAATCGAGAATTATTTGACAAACATTTACAAATTACTGATACTTTTATAGCATTTAATTACCATTGAATATTTCTATAAATTTTAATAGAACCAATTAACCATTATGATAGATTTATAGATTATTATTATTAAATTTATTTTTAATAGTCTATGTTCATTTATTATTAGCATTTTTTACAATCTGATTGAAATTATATAATATTTAATTGTATTTTATTTATAAAACTAGTAAAATATTCTTTACATTATGGACATTATAATTTAAAATTAATTGAACGAATTCTAAATTCTAAGAAACCTTCTCCTTTAATAATCAAAAATAATTTTTTATCACCAAAATTTTAGATATCTTATTTGTTTTATTTGATTTAATTAGGTAATATATCTTAGGATATAATAGAGGAAGAGATTTATGTGATACTCTTTTCAATTTCATCTTTTTGATTAGAATGATATTTTATTGATTTTTCATTTGAAGGATAATTATTATTAATCATTTTTTTGAATTCATTTTAGAAATCAAGATCTTTCTTATTATCAATAGTAAGTGATCCTTCAATTATTTGATCATCATCTGTTAAGACTTATTTTGAAATAATGGATGGTTCTGTTACTAATTCCAATTTATTGTTAGCATTCATAGCAAACTATATATTTACTAAATATAATACTTTAGTTTCTTCCCATTCAAGATAATAAGTAAATTATTAATTCATTATTATATTATATTTTTTATAATTATGAATATTAGAAAACTAGAATTTAACTATATTATATTCAAAAACCAATATTAAAATCTCCTTAAGGTTAATTTAAATAAGGGATATTTTGTGGATTATTAGTAGGCATTTTACTAATATTATACATTTCAACATCTATATCTTAAGATTTAAGAGAGTCAACTAACATAATATCTTTGAATCTTTAGAAATCTATTCTATCTTAACTATCTAAACTTATTTCTTTAAACATCATATCTATTTTAATAGTTGACAATGATTTCCCTCTTCTTTCAAATGCTCTTCTAACATCCATTGTAGTTATATAATTTTTATTATCAATATCAAATTATTTAAATAATCCCCATATTCTTTCTTCATTTAAATATTATTATTAATTAAGTAATGCCATCATAAATTCAGAATAATGAATAGCTAGATCATCAACTGATGAATCAGATTTTTTTAATATATGAAATCTTTAAATCAATTCCTATATTTCTTTTTCAGTATCAGTTAAACCTAATTATTTAATAATTTATGTCATTTCTTTTACAGATATTGTTCCACTATTATCTCTATCAAATTCTTCAAATTTCAATCTTAATGATTAAATTTGCGACTCATTTAATTAATTTAAAAGTATATTTAAAGTACCTTTTTTTAATTTTGAAATATTTCCATAAGTCTTTAATAAACGAATAGTTTTTTCATTTTCATGTTCATTATTAGGTATAGATTCCATACGAAGAGGTGCTGTCATTGTAAAATTTAATACCCATTAACTTTATAATGCTTAAGCACAAGTGATACGTTTTTTTGGATTTTTATCAAGTAATTTAACTAATAATGATTTAGCTTCACTTGATATTTCTCCCCATATTTTTTCACTAAATTAGACTTCTTTACTTTATATCTTATCTTCCAATAATTTGATATTATTACTAAAAAAAGGAGGTTCTCCACATAATAAAACATACATTATACATCCTAATGACCATTCATCACAAGTCTAAGAATAATTACCTAATAAGACTTCAGGTGCAACATATATGGGTGTTCCTACTTTAGTTTATTATCTAACTTATGATCTTCCTTAATTTGTAGATTATGGTGGTGGATATTTCTTACTTAATCCAAAATCTATAATTCTTATATCAAAATCATCATCTGGTGAAACTAACATTAAATTTTCAGGTTTAAGATCTCTATGTGTTACTCCTAATTAATGCATATAATGAACTGCAGAAAATAATTATTTCATTATAATGCAACATCTTCTTTCTGAGAAAACACCTTTTCTAACTATTCTTTCAAATAATTCACCTCCTCTACAATACTCCATTACAAAATGATAATATCTTAAATCTTCAAAAGTCTCATACACTCTAATTATGTTAGGATGATCCAGTTAAACTAAAATTTCTAGTTCTCTATTAATCAAATGTAATCTATTTCCTATACGATGCTAATTTTATATATTTTAAAATACTTTATCTATAGATTTAACAGCATAGCATTTTGATTCTTGACCGTTCATTTCTTATTCTAAACTAAATGCTAATTTAACTGTTCCAAAACTACCACTACCCAATATTTATGAGAAACGATAGAATTAATGAATGTTTAATTTTGAAAATTTTCTAATTTCAGACAACTTTGCATGTTTAGCTCGCACTTTACTACTACATAAACCCATTAAATTAATTATAAATTTAAATCAAATAATATCATGTCACTATACTCTTTCTTTGTTATTCTATATAATTTTTTGCTTGTATCATATCTTATTAAAAATTTTAGGTAAAATATTAATCAAAAGATTAATTACTCATCGAAGGTTATTAACATTTCTTTTCTTTACAATAAAATGACACTAATTTTGGTAAAAATTAATCATTCTGTTGCAATTAACCTATAAAACGATTAAAAAGATCAAAAACAAATTAAGTATCTAATATCAATTATTTTAATCCATCTTATGATATTTATTATATTTTTATAGAACTCTATTAAAATTATAAGTTTATTTAATTCATATCTAATTTGAGTTCATTTCTTGATTTAACATCTAATAAAAATACTTCATTTGTTTTCCCTTAATTATGATATGACCAAAATAATGAATATTCTAATAAATATTTTGTATAATCCCATAATAATCCTAAATAATAAAGTGTAGGTGCTTAAGGTATCTTTGATTTAAATTGATTATTCATTTCCATTATAGAATAACCAATCATTAAAAATAATGGTGATGGTTTTTGTACAATAAGTTATTTTTATATATAAATCTTTCCATGTTCACAAATCCAAAATGGTAACATCTATAAATATGTATTTTTATAATATTATTATATTAATTATTTTAATTCATCTACCCAATCTTAAATAACTCTTTTCCATTCACTATTAATTTAAAAAGGTAAACTAGATGCTCTTGTTGATAAATAATTAATTAAAGTACTATTTAAATTATAATTTCCAAATAAATTTCCTATTTCAAATAAAGGGTAATTTTCCTTCCTATTTGTTCTTATTGCACTTAAATAATCTTTTATGAATAAAATTAATAATTTAGATATTGATTCATTCAACATAGTAGATAATAAAGAATATTATTCTGGATTAAAAAAATTTAATGCAGAATCACCTAATTTAAATACAATATTCCAAAAGAAACAAGAACTAATTGATAATCCTTGACTAAGTGAATCAAATGTACTCTTTATAGTAGCAGAAGCCTTTAATTTAATTTCTTAAGGTTTATTAGATATATCAATCTCCTTTAATTCTAATAATTTATCACTTTCAAGTAAATTAGGTAAATATTCCATTTTTACTAATTTATTTTCATTAAAATGCATATATTAATTAATCTTTTAACCAAATACTCCAAATAATTCATTTACTTTATTCTCTATATATATAGCTAATTCTTTTTGAATTTCAAAATCTATTGATATTCCTTTAGATTAATATTAAGAAAATGTATTTAACAATGTTTTTGATTTAGTAAAAATATCATCAAATGATACAATATCTTAAAAAAAGTATTCTTAAATTTTATCAAAATAACTTTAGATAATCTATTAATTCCATATAGAAATAAATGAAAATAATAATTAATTTTTCTTCAAATATTCTCCAAATATTTATTCATATTACTAATTTATCTTTAAGATATTCCCTATAAATTATTAAACTTATCTCTCATTAAATTAATTTTATTATTCAATCCAATTAATAAATTTATCTTATTGTATTTATAAATAACCTTTAATTAGCATTTCAACCTAATTTAAAATCATCAAATATTGCATTAATTAAGATGAATCAAATTAAGCATTCTAACTTATATAATCATTAAATATAGATTAACAAAGACTTTTGAAAGCTTCATCTAATTATCTCTTTATTTCTGGTTTCTTAATTAATTTCATAAACTTCTTTGATTAATGGGTTTCAATTAATAATTTATAACTTTCTATAGCCTATTCATAATTTTTTTCAAATGTAAACATAGATAAATTATCTAGCATTTCTGTCAATTGATCTTCAGCCTAGACATCTTCAACAATATCTTATTCTTTTGTCACTTATTCTTCAAGTAATTACTTACATCTAGCCTTAGCATTTTTTAGGTTTTCAATATCCTTTGAAATAATCTTTCAATTAATCAAATTTTTACTTCTATTTAACTTGATGCTGATTAGAATTTATCAATTAATGATACAAACTGTTAATAAACAGGATCTTTTTCTTTTGAAGCATCTAAGAAATTTTAGTAGTTTTGTATAACAAACTATCTTTAAAATTCCGGAAGGCATTCTTGTAATTACTCATATAAATTTTCATATAACATTATATATTTATAATAATATATTATCATTAATAACAATTACTAAAAAATTAAACATTTAATTATATTACCTTTCAGTCTTTATATATATAGATATATTAATTAAACTTATCAAGTTACTTAAACATAATAATATATATTTATAACTACTATCATATTTTAATCTAAGTATTATTAGTATTTTATAATGATAATAATCAATATATTTATAATGTTAAACTTTAGTTTTCTAATAAGATCAAATAAATTAAGATATTTTGATTATATTTCAATATTTTTCTGCTATTATTAAAGTTATTAAACTAGTCCATCCATTAAATGGTCTATTACCTTATCCTAATCCATCTAAATTCTAATTATAATGTTCATAGAAATATCCTCTTGTTTCATATTATGAGCATATCGTTTCAATCATATTATGTCTTAAATCTTGATAGAATTATTATACTCCATCAATTTCCCAATAATATAATTTTAATGCTCTCAAAACCAAAAATTATATATTAACCCAAATAGGTCCAGTCCAATAATTAGATTTCTTTCTAAATTCTGTACTATTAGTTTCTAATGATCTTATACCAAATTGTGTCCACATAGTATTACCTCTCATAAAGTTTATATATTATTGAATAATATCAACTCTTTATTTATCAATTAATCCTAATCCTAGAGGGAATAGATTGACATAACCTCTATGAGGAGAATAAAATACTTAATCATCTGTATTAGGATAATATAATATATCCTTATAAATTAAATCATTTGGATCCAGCATATCTGACTATAATTAATAATTGTATAAATACATTCATTTTATTCAAAATTAATTGCATTCTCTCTTCAAGATTATTAACAACCCCAATATCATAAATTCTTGCAAGTTTAACCATATGATAAGTGAAAAAGTAACCCCAACTTTAAGCATCAATATTATATTTTGATACTTTACTTCCATCTGTTCTTGGCCAATCATCAAGACCTGAACCTAAATTACTATCCTCATCAGGTCCCCACCATTTTAAATATCCAGAAAATTTACCTTTCTCATCAGAAATAGCTTAAGTTCTGAACCAATTATTGTACCAAGAAAAGAGTTTTAAATAGATTCTTCCAATTCTTTCTTTATATTATGGATGATTATCAATTAGATATTCAAAATTAAAGAAAAAAGTAGGTGGATTTGATTCTCTAGGATCTTCTTTTAACCAAGGAATATATGATCTTAATTCTTCACTTCTTGGTTATTCTCTTGGTATCCAACCATCAATTGACATAGTATTAATCCAATCTTCTAAACTTTATAAACAAATATCTGGATTCATTTTACAAGCAATCATATTATGAAAACCTTCATCCCATAAAAATGGTCTAGGGAATCCAAATCTTGAAGGTGTATGACTTAACATAGGTTTAAAAGCTGTGCAAGTATCTTTATTTATCACACAACTTAAATTTCCATATGTAAATAATAAACCTGCCATCAAATTATTAAAACTAGAATATGCACATTTATTATCAGTTCCAAATACTTTTTTAAAATTGAATTTATTTATAGCTGCTAAACTATCACTTAATTATTATAGATTATCAAATCCATAATCAGGTATATATTTATCAGTTTATGTGACTTAAATAATTATATTATCTCCTGGTTATGCTCTAAATTCTATGGCAACCAAATTAGAATTATTAGTATTTGTACTATTTGAGAATATAGCCTACATTAAAGTTGGTCTTGGATCATAATTAAAAATATAATCATTAAACAAAGTTCTTATTGTAAGATTTGATATTTTCTCATCAGTACAATTATATTAATAATCTCTATCATTTACAGTTATAGTTATAAAGAAATGTTCCATTCTTGTTTCATCTTCATTATAAGTACTAACTCTGATACCATTATTAGTCACATTTACTTAAAAAGTTCTTGTTTCTAAATTAAATTGATTAAATTGTTCAATAGTTAATACATAGAACAATTATAATGGTTTTTCAATAACTAAGGTTTTAATTTCATCTACAAAGTTTACTTTTGATTCCATTGGAAATTTTATAAAAGTTGTTTAAATTATAGACTTTGTGTTTGGATCACTTATCAATTAAACATTAAAATCTTTTCCATTATGATGAACTGGATTAATTTTCACTTGCTCAGTGTTTAAATCTGGAATCTTATAAACTAATGATCGATCATCTGTTCCAATATGATCTGCATACATAAGAGCTCCTGTTATAGGATTAAATGTTTTCATATTTCGTTGTGTTACTGCATGAAGTAATTGAGGTTTATAAGTTCCCCATCTCATACTTTCATCAAAATCACACAATATTATTGAGATAATAGTGAATATAATTACTATCATTTTTATTAATAAATGAATCATTATCAGTATAAATATAATTATCATATATAATTATATAGAAATTAGATATAATTTATAATAACCTTTCCTATGATATTGATTATCATAAATTCTAAATTGACTTTCATTATATAAAGTATACCTAAATTACTACCTAATTTAATTTACTATATGGATATTTTATACTAATATAAATAAATTATCTTACTCTGATTTAGTTTTATTATCGTTGAGATTCTAATACTTTTTGTACTTATAATATATGAATTCAAAAGAAATATTATTAAAATTAATTTTATGAAATAATAAATACCTAAAATGCTTTTTTTAATCAAAGCTTATTTATATAATATTTGAAATAACCCATTACAACCTTTTATATTAAAAAATAATCTATAACAATTAATTATTAATATTAGAAATTCTTCAATTTTAGATATATAATTTAATTAAGATATTGTTGTTTTATAACTTTACCTTTTTTATATTTAATGATTCTAATGAGAAATTTATATACTACTGCATTAAATAATTAGTTAGATAAATAAAAGTATAAGTTTAATTAAAAAGATGAAGTGAATTTTCTAAAAAATATAATAATAAAAAAAATTAATAAAATTCTTTATTTAGAAAATTAATTAAAAGTTAATTTGTTAAGTTATTTTATAAATTTAATCTTAAGTCATTTATAATAGTTACTTAGGTAAAATTAGATAAAAGTAATCTACATACAATAATATTACTATAATCAAATAAAATTTAAAGAAATTAAGTTAAAATTTGAATTCTATTAAATATAGTCCAAATCATTTAATGAATGTATTTAATCAAATTAATACAATATAATATTCATTAATTGTTATCAATATTGAGAAAAGATGAAGATTTTTCAATAATAGGAGAAAAGTTTAGTTTTAACTCCTATATTTTGATTCATAGAAAATAGAATAGGAATAGTAGTAATTTATACTCTTTCTTATTCTCTGTGTCTTTTCCAATTAGGACTTTTAATTTCAAAAGAATTCATAGATTCATTTTATCTTGTATCACGTCGATTATTCTTTTTATTTTTAGATTGACGAAGAGAATGTTAGCTTTTAGTTCTAAAAATAGTACCTCTTGCAAAACGTACTGATCTTGTTTCTGGGGAACCACTTACACTATCTTTTAATTTACTATTTTTTTTTAATATGCTTTTCACAGATTTTGCATCATCATCTTTTTCTGCTTATAAAGATTGATTAAGTGCAGGTGAATTTTATTTAATTTCATCAAAATGACTATGTGTTACACTAGTCTTAAATAAATATCGTTTTTATTTTGCTCCTAATTTGAGTGATTCAACATTATCTCTATTGGATATTTTTCTTTGAGATTCTTCTTCTTAAAAATTATATAATCTCTTGTTCTTTTTGATTCTAGTTTATACAGTTAAAAGGTTTTCTTCATCTTCTATTATTTGGTCTAATTCAAGTTTATTTTCAGTATTTAATGGTTAGACAATTTGATTAATAATAATGGATGATTTAGAATAATTGCATTTTGATGAAGATTCTTTATATGAATTTGATTCAGATTCTACTCTTTAGATTTAACATGATCCCATATAAGAATATTAGTAAAAAATAATATAAAATAATGCTAATACAAACTTAAAAGATAATCAAATTAAACTTCTTCTTAAATAATTAAGTGATGTTCTTTTAGAAGGTGAAGATTTATTGGATCTAAACTTTGTGCCTTAAGCAAAATGTACTTTCTTATGTTCAGAGAGAGAATTAAAACTTTTATTTAATGGAGACTTAAGAATACTTCTTTAAGATTAGACTTCATTATTATTTTCTAATTAGTAACTTATTCTCTGAATATAAAATGATAAATCTAGATTTTATATCTAAATAAGATCTCTTTTTGGGATATTATTCTTTTTTATTCTTCTAGTTTCACTTTTAACACTAACTGGACTTTCAGTAATATGAGAAACTTTAGTAAGATAAAATTATTGTTAATGATCTTCTTGAAAATTAAAGTTTTTCATTCTTCCTTTACTTTTATTTATTTTATGTATAGGATGATCTTAATCTTAAATATTAGTTTCTGATATTTTTTAATTTATAGGGTTTGTATATGTAATACTCAATTTAAGAGATGAAAATTTTGTGCTTTTACTCATTTCATTTAAAGTTCTCATTTTGGATTCTAAACTAATAAGATCAGAATCCATAGTTTCTTAACATACATATTTAGTACAAGATGATCCCATTTATAAATATATTTTTAATCATAAATAATCATTTTTAAGATGGGCTTTATGTTCATATGTCCATTATGCCATTTATTTTGATTTTAAATTGCTTGCATCTTTCTAATCTCTTTACTCCTAAGCAGATTATATTCTTTAATCTATAGATTAATGATATTATCGTATTCTATTAAGTTTACTTTCATATTTTTAATTATTTTAAGCTTTCTCATCCTATATAAATTATTCCCTATTTTTTGAAAATCGTTCCCCTTAAGTCATAAACATAGGAGATGTTTTAGGAGGAACAAAGTTTTCAAATGTGTTTTTAAAAGCAGGTGTAGCTCCAAATCTTGTTGAAGGTCTTACATCAGTATGATTAGTCTAAGGTCGGAAAGGTTTTTTGAATTCTTCAGTTAATCTTGATAATTCAGGTAAAAATGCTTTAGCTGCACTTTAAAATGTCTTTCCAGGTTAACTATTAATAGAAATTAATTGATTTCCAGCATTATCAAATATTGTCATTCCAGCTCTAAGTTTATCATGAAATTCATTAAATGTAGCATATCCTTTATTAGTTGGATCAACATAATTTATTAGTATTCCAATTTCTTATCCATTAAGTATATTCATTTCTTCTAATTTTTATTTCAAATCTTATTGAGAAATATATCCATCCTTATCTTTATCAAAATCTTTAAATAATTTATATGCTCTTTCAGTTTTGTTAAAAAGTTAATTCTCAACTTTCATTAATACATCTGATAATTCTTTAGATTGATTAGGTATATACCATGTCATTCCTGCATCCTAATTATAAAATTCTATAAAAATATTAAAAAAAATCATACATATTTATTTTTCAATATCTTATTCCTTATTTTCAATTGCTTAAAGAGGTTAATCAATTTTGGATACTTTTTCAGGAGGAGCAGGTCCTTTCTATCTTAATTAAGCTCTATCATAAAATTCTTAATCAGTTTCACTAAATTAAATGGATAATAAATATACTTAAATAATATCCTAACAATTTCATCAGATTTTTATGTTTCATATTAACCAAATTGTAATACACTAAGCATACTTTCAAGATCAAATTTTTAATATCTTTCATTCACACTTTCTAAAAATTATATAATCACATGCGAAAACTCTTTAACATTAACATTATTGCCTTATATTTTATTTTTAAGAAATTCTTCAAATTTAGTATGTGATGGTATATATCTTTAAATTTTATTCATAAGATTTTTAGTCTTTCTTTTCATTTTCTCTAAGGAATAGGCATCTACTCTTGTAATATCAAACAAAGTAATTAGTTGATCTTCTTAATATTTCATACTTTTTAATAATAATTATTTTTTATCAACTGGTTCTTAGTTTTTGTTTGAATATGGATCATCATAAACTTCTTCTTTCAATTAAAATGATTTTAAATGATTTAAGAACTTTTTATAATCAAATGTATCATCTTAATTCTTAAAATTCTCATATAAAATTTTAACATCCTATTCAGATAATATACTAGGATCTATTTCTAATTTCTTAATAACTCTTTCAAATCTTCCATAACTTATATATCCTTTTTATAATTCATCTTACATTGTGAGTTATTATCCCAATTATTATAACTTAAATAATAGTGATTTAAAATACTCTATTTTTAAGAATAAGATTGACTTAATTCTAATGTCTTCTATCTCTAGCTTACATAGCATCTTTTCTAAGAAAATCAATAGTTTCCTAATTTTTAATTAATGAATCTTTTTCATCTTCTGTTAATGCTGGTAATGCCTTTAAATTTACATTAAGAGCATCTTTATCATTAAAAATAAGATCTAAAAATTCATCTAATCCTAAATCATTTGATCCATCCATATCTGCACTAGCTAACAATACTCTTGCTTCATCAATATTAATATTTATTCCTAATCTTTATATCATATTGTATAGATTTTTAACACTAACAGCACCATTAGAATCTTCATCCCACAAATTAAAGATCTTTTAAAAATTCTTTCTATTTGCATATCTTCTTCTTATAGCTCTTCTAATATCTCTAACTTTTTCTATGTCTACTTTGCCTTCAAGTGTATTTTTATTTTCTAAACCAACTAATTAAGTTTCTTGAATTCCTGTAGTGTTCTCTTCTCTTTTTTATTATGCTAATTTCTCCTTTATTTCTTCTAATAAATTAGTATTGAATAATACATTTAGTATGAATTGGACTTTCTTAATTTTATCTATGTTCATCATCAAAGAAAAGTGTATTAGAATCACCACAAAATACTCTTTTCTTTAATTCTTTTTCTTCTAATTAAGAAAATCTAATTTGCAAAAAGAAGAATACCTTGGATAACCAATTAAATGATGTTAGTAAAATTTTTTAGCAGATTATTTAGTTTCTTCAACTGGATCTTTGCATTATACAATTCTTTTAGATTTTTAGTCTAAGATTTCTGAAAATTTCTTATTTTTTGGAATAGATAATGTAGCTATTCTATCTCCATCTAGAGAACTATTTTGATTATTAGAAGTATATTTTAATGAATCCTACATCCTTGAATGAAATAAAACAGTTTACTTAAAGTCTCTATTAGTTTTGCCTTGATGATGAATACGATCTCTTCTGACTATCATCTAGAACAGTTATATATTAATTATTTTATAGATTAAATTGAATTCAAAACAATCAATGAATGAATACATTAAACTCATTTCACAAAAACATAATTGAATTAATAGCTACTATTATTAGCTACATCATAAATATAGATTCATATTTTTAACATTTATCATAAATAAAAAGAATATTAAATATAGAAAAGAATGAGTATTGTAATTAAATAGTCATTTATTTTAATAACAATTATAATTTAATTAATTACTTATAATCAATGAATTCAAAGATAAAAAAAATTAGAAGTGATTAATATTTTTAAAACAATAATAATAAATTATTTTATCCATAGTAAATTAGTTATTAAATAATTGAAGACATTGTGATTTATATAAATTTATATTAATTCATACTCCTCCCCAATTTTTTGAGTTTTCATTAAATTCCCATACTAATTTTATAATTCAAATTTTTACATCTTATGTAATGTCTTATAGAATGTGAGAAGTAGATCATAATCAACAAAACTACTGATTCTATTGTGATTTGTATTATAATCAATCCTGTTTAATTTAGTGACTCACAAACTATATCACTAATCACTTTTTCAGATTCAGGATAGAAGTTAAACTAATTCATTTGATATGCCATATATCCATAGACAAGAATTCTTGTAAATAAAACCCACAATAATGTCCAAAAATACCCCTAGTCTTATATACTCTATACCTATGAATTTTCTAAGAATTTTTAGCATCGATTGAATAAAATCCAAAAATTGAACACAAAATCCAAAATATATTCCCTATTAATAATGCCCCAATCATATAAGCATAAGATAAACACTTATCATAATATTGGAAAAATTGGAATCCATGTTATATACTATCATAACTCAACATCACCTAATATTCAAATTAATTAATACTGCTATAAAAGTATTAGCTCCTTATACAAATTATATTCTTTTTTCAATAATTGCATTGAAAGAAGATGAATCAGATGAAACTAAATAATTCTCTTGTATGTGTCTTATTATAAATGGTTTTGAGGATGTATTCATATTAATTAAATATATATATATATATTTGTATTTTTACATAATCAATTTTCATTATTCAAATACTTTACTAATTCCAAACAGTCCTTTTTAATAACATTACAAAATACCTAACTGTTTATATATTTTATAATTATGAAATTATGCTATTATCTCTTATTAGGTTGGGTCTTTACATGGTCCATTATCTAAAAAAATTAATTCAAAGGGATTCATTTTATCTCAATGCCTTTTAATTTAAACACTAATCAAATAAAAATAACATTGGATTCCTAATATAAAGATGATAAAAATTTACAACCTTTTTTATTTATTTGTATAACATAGCCAACATAGTCTACATTTATGTAATTACTCTCTGAAGAAAAGTGAGTATTGATATTTTAATTAGATGCATTGTGGATTGGTTTTCATATCAAATGAAAAAATCATAATATTTTGTCCTACAGAAATAATCAATCAATATAATAATATCAAAGTATTATCAAATCTATTAATATGATGAATCATTATATATTGGTTTTCAATCAACTTATGAAACTAATATCATTGTAAGAATATAATAATTAAATTCCAATTAATGCATTTTGTAATTATTAACAATATAAAAGGGATTGTAAAAATGAAACAGAATGTAAATCATAATTTTGTAATTGTAATCTTGCATAAATTGGTTAAGATTGTAGTCTAATCATTGATGATCTAACATAATAATAGATATTTTAGGGTGGAAAGATTTATTATGTTGATATTTAAAAAATTCTAAATCAAAAAGAAGAAGTTTTAATATAATTTTAAAATTCAACTTAATTCTATGGATTTTGCATAACTTAAAATTTCAATCTAAACTAAATCTAGTTATAAACTAACAATACATTATATATTTCATTAAATCACATCAAAGAATGCTATAAGAATATCATAGAATTAAAAGAATAATTCAATTCCACCATAAACTTTTATTTTCTAGTATAATTTAATTCAAATAATCTTACTTATCTTAAGAGTTCAATTTAAGACCCTTAAAATTATTTTCTAATTATAATTCTTTCTACTACAATGTCTTCAATAGCAATATGTTTTTTAATTTGTCTTATTAAATCGAAATGTTATGCTACATAAAAAAAATAAAAGAATGTTGATTTTAAACATGATATGAAGCATTTTCCATCCTTAATAGAAAAGCTCTTTCCATCTTAATAATATGCAATACTTAGAAATAAATGTGAAAGATTTATAACACTAAATCAATGCCTGATATGTCTTGATCCTTTTTATGAAGATTCACATGTAAGAGTCACCTATTGCAATCATATCTTCCATACATCTTGCTTTGATAAATGGATGAATGTACATAAAGTAATGTGATACTACTTATCACAAGAGTTGCCCTAATTGTAGAAGTTCATTTGACTAAGAATCCATGATTAAATATGAGAATTCCATTAAGAAAAATTCTGATATGCTTTAATGGAGTAGTAGGACTGATGAGATAAAAGTCAACCTGAGACCATTAATAAATGAGACATTACAACAATAGCCTTAAGCCTCTCAATTAGAATCTTTGAGAAACATTTAAGCTTTTTGAATTAGTTTGAATATTTTTTTTATACAATTTAAAAAATAAATAATTATATTATTTATTAATTAGGTTAAAATTATTTAAATTAATTTATGATAATATTTAAATTGATATAATTTTAGATATTAAAAAATATAATAAAATTTATATATTGATAAGGGAATTAATTATATATTGATAAAGAAGATTAGCAAAAATTTACTAAAATTAAACAATTATTTTTAATTCAGTAATCATATTATGATAAAAAATGATCTTTTTAAGGTTTATCCTCATCAAAAGTTTTTATATCCATTAATTTTAATTTAACACATTTATATCCATAAAAAAAATTAAATCCCTTTAATATTTAATAGTTATTAATACCAATACAATTATGCTACTAGAGAAAATTATTGTAATTATTGAAAATGTTGCCCAATCTAAATGAATTTTTTCAAATTAATAATCATAATATTGTAAAAATAAAAATAGTTTGACATTTTCTGCTATGCAAATTAAAAATGCAATTACAAAATATAAATAAAGTAATTTAAGTTGTCTTTTTTTCACCTATTATATATATAATTCTATAATTTACTCCTATATAGCCAATTATAAATCCAATAATAATTATTACTATTGCACAAATATCTGCAATAAGGTGAATTTATTTCTAATCATCTATTGAAGTATCAAAGAAAAAAAAAAAAGTGACAAAAATCAAAAATGTTAATTAAGCATATACTTATAGAAGACATTCAAATGATGTAAACCATTTAAATTTATTCTATTCATTAACAGATGCTCCTATTTTTGTAAATATTTCATCTCTAAAAGCTTCTAAAAAGTATTTATAAGATATTAATCCTATAATTTGTACAAATATTGAAAATACAATATAGATATAACATACTGTTTAAACCAACTAATTATAATATAATTGTTTACTATTTTGTGATCTAATTCTTCATTCATACTAATATAAAAATATCGTAATGTACTTGCTATTGTTGTACATATAGATATTATTAGGTAAGCTAGCAATTCTAACATATTTTTCTTGATCATCTTAATTAATATCATCAATAATTACAGAATGCCATGCATAATACAGTTAGGATAGACTAAACAATAATAAAATCAACCATTTGTATAAATTTTCTTTTCTATATTCTGCATCATTCTATTAATTTTCCAGTATTATTAAAGCAATGCATGATATTATTAAGAAAGACATTTGTATTGATATTAAAATGAATAATTGTTTGCTTCCTTTATCTCTGATGTAGTCATATAATTTTTCTAATTTATCCATTATTTATTTAATAATGGAATAATAATAAAATGAATAGGCTCAAACACAAAGATTCGAAGAACCTGTCTATAAATTGACCACTAAATTAATGAAAACATGCAATCCTAAGTAAGAGAGTTTAAGAAATCTATGACAGGACTTTAGATAAGAAATACCTAAAAGACTTCAAAATCAAACCAAATGAAACACTTGTCACTTTGAATAATACAAAATTAGATCCCTAATCTCCAAAAACTAACAAGGCTTTATAGGATTTAAATATATATATCAATTAATTAGAATTGCTGTATAATTAATCCTTTTTACATATAGGGATAAATCAGAGTTTAAAAAAAATGGAGAATCTGAAGAATTAAAAGAGAAGAGATACTGGTTACACTATTTTTAAGTAGCTTAAATAAAAAAATCTGTTATTTTATAAAGAAATAAATATAAAAGAGAAGAATGGATTGAAAAATAGTAACGTCCAAAATCGATCTAAACTCTAGATCAAAGCATGAATAGTAGTATCAATATAAGTGAATATGCTCCTTATAAAAGTCCAACTGAAATGATTGAAAGTTGGATAGATAGTCAAGTATAATAGAATGATCGACAATTATAAAAATTCAATAAACTATAATAAGTAAATATCTTAAATAAAATTAAATAGAAAAGAAAAGAATAAGATGAATAGTCATAAGAAGAATAAGAAAAATATAAAGAGAAACTTTAGATAATATTAGAAAAGAAGGAAAAAAATAGATTAATTAAATTAAAGTAGAAATCATTAATTGCAAAAAAGGATGTATCTAAGAGTTTAGAAATATCAACTAAAATGAAGACTGTTATTCAAGAAGAGAAATATAAAAATGCTTAGATAAAGAAATTACAAACAGAATAGAATATAGAAAAAGCGTAATTAATATATATACATCATTAATAGATAAAAAAGGGTTGACCAAATTAAATAATCATATGTAGATGTCTTAGAGGAAAAATAAAAGATATATGAAGAAAAATTATAATAAGTCTTAAGAAAGAAAGATGAATAAGATTAATAATTGATGTAAAATAGATTAAAAGAAATATAAACAGAAAGAACTCGTAAATCAACTAAAAAAATAAGAAAATCTGATGAATGGTCTACAAAATTACCTTTATTGATTAGTAGAAGTGAAGCCTAATTTTAGAATGTATATAACTCAAATTTAGCTTCAGTAATTGAAAAATTTTAGAAGGAAGAAAAAAAGAAACTTAAATAACATAAATCTTAAGTATTAGAAAAAGATCATATTGAAGAGATTAAATAAAAAGAAGAATAATTTAAAAAAAGATATTAAGATAAACTAAAATAATTTGAGTAATATATTATAATTATCAAATAAAGGAATAAAAGATAGAAAATAGAAGAGAAATTTACTAAAAAGGATCAATATTTAATTGAACATTAATAAAAAAAAAGAGAAGAATTAGAAGAGAAATTTGATAAAATTAGAGAAATAAGTGCTGATAATAAAAGAAGATTCAAAAATATCAAATAATAATATAACAATAAATGTGATAAGTAAATGGATAGAGAATAAAAGAAATTTAAATAAAATATGAATCTCATAAAATAAAGAGAATAGATTATTGAGTAGTTAAGATATAAAAGATTCTTAGAAAAGAATAAACCTTTGACTTTATCTTAAGACACTATTTCAAAAAATAGTGATAGCAAACTTTAAGCATGATAAGAAGAAAATAAAAATATATATAAATTAATTTAATGTACTTTTAAATCCATAATATCAATCTGTGTGTTAAGATCCTTTAGTTGCACCAACACCTGGCTTTCCATGTCTAGTTGGTTTATAAGTTAAAGAAAATTCACCCAAATATCTAAAATATTATAAAATCATTTATACCTGCCAATCATATCAAACTTAATTTCAACATTGCTAAATTGTCTTCCATTGTAAACTCCAACAATTGAACCAACCATTTCTGGAACAACAATTGTATTTCTTTAATGAGTCTTGACAGGTTTTGGTTTTTCACCAGGTAATGTTTCTTTCTTGCTTTTTCTAATCTAATTTTTACAATCACATCTTTACCTTTTTCATTAAATTTTAGAAAGCATGTACTTTTTCTCCTTGATTTGAAATTCTTCTTCTTTATCTGGCTCTGAATTATTCCACTAATTTATCCATAGGTAGTTTAACCAACTCTTCAAGTTAGAGTCCTCTGTAAGTGAACTTCTTAACTCCCTTGAATTGTTTGTCTTATGTTTATTCTGCCATAATTTGAAAAATGAAAATTAAAGATTTTAATATATTCCAAAACACTAAACAAATTATAAAACAATTATTTTCTCTTTTTACTAATATTGAACAATAAAACCCTCCAAATAACAATCTTAAATACATTACCCTTGATTTGTATAAATAACTGATAAACTAAAAGATATATTAGATTTAAAATAACCATGAATTTGAATATTTTAAATTTGATTATATAACTAAATATTTCAATTGAATTTATATAGAAAATCTTTGAAATAGAATTTATTATTGAATCTTATCCATGATTTATGAGTATATTTTAAATATTTAATTCACATCATGTAATAACATTTATTAATAATTTAATAGGATTTAGGTTCATAGGATATACTAAAATTTAGGAACTCTTATTTAATTTATACAATACAAACAATTATTTATTATCAATCATAAAGCAATTTATACTTATTTTGATTGAATGGTATTTCAATATGAGATATTTAATCTCTATCTAAAATACATCGTTTAATATTATCTTTTCATTTAAATTACATCTCAATCTTAAATTTTAAGTAGATGAAAATGATATTCATATTCAATTTTTTTATTTTATCCAAAGTATTTTATGGAACAAGAAAAAGGATGTACATATTTCTTCTTCTAAATATTTCTTCATAGGATATGTTAAGGAATTTATTTGTTTAGATAAGCCAGATTTAGATTTGTAACATTCAATAATTAAACCTTTGTATCAAGTTACAATAATAATATCAAAACACTTGAAATAAATTAAAAAAGCTATAAAATAGATATATTTGATCAAAAGTTATTAAAATAAGTGGAAATAATAAAAAATTATTTATTATTTCATTTTTTGTTTTTCAACTCAAATTTGTTATTTTATTTATTTTCTTGTAAAATTTTTAAACATTCCAAAAATAAATCTTTAATTTCTTATTTAGGTGCATCTAACTCCAAATTTCTCTTTGCAATAATTGTTATTCCAAGAGATTCTTTCCCCTAACGATATTTCTTAAATTTGTCAAAACCTGATCCTTAAGCTTTATCTTTGATTTCTTTTATTTATGAAATTTAGATAGATTTTTATTCTGAAGTATTTTTTTAATCAAAAGGTTATAATTCATCTTTCCATTTTATATATTGTTCATTTTCAGTTAAATATATAATTTTAATATTTGGTTTTCTTTATCCTTCTGAATATTTAATCATGCAAAATCCTTATTTTAGTTAAAGTAATGCATGTTATAATTTTGTTTATTAATTTATTTAAATCATTTATTTTGGTTATATTCCTTTTAATTCTGGTGATTATTAAGATTAAATTAGAATATTACTATTTTAATGAGCTTCAGTAAAATGATCAGAATTTTTGATATTTAAAGTAAATTATTATTTTGAATCCTATTCCATTTATGGAATTATATTAGACAATTGCTCTTTTAATTTTTTATAATCTATATTAATTTCTTATCTAAAAGGTCTTTCAAATAAACTATTCTCAAATAATTTACTAATCTTATAAATATATTAATTACTCAGAATTTAGACAAACATTTTTTCTCATAATTGACCATAAAGATAAATCTATTTTACTAAAGTCTTATTGATTTTCCATAATTAATATTAATTTACCTTCCTTATAATGTATAATAATCTAAAAATCATTTTTATATGTGACATCTACTATTTAAGAAATATCTAAAATCATTTTATTTTCATCTAAATAAGAAGGAGATAAAATTATCTAATCATCAACAATAACAAAAACTCCCTACTCTATTTCTTCATCATTTCCTTTCCCTAATATTGCAATTTCATTTTATTAAACAATATATTGAATTCTTTAAATACAATAAGTAGAATTTATTNCATATTTCTTCTTCTAAATATTTCTTCATAGGATATGTTAAGGAATTTATTTGTTTAGATAAGCCAGATTTAGATTTGTAACATTCAATAATTAAACCTTTGTATCAAGTTACAATAATAATATCAAAACACTTGAAATAAATTAAAAAAGCTATAAAATAGATATATTTGATCAAAAGTTATTAAAATAAGTGGAAATAATAAAAAATTATTTATTATTTCATTTTTTGTTTTTCAACTCAAATTTGTTATTTTATTTATTTTCTTGTAAAATTTTTAAACATTCCAAAAATAAATCTTTAATTTCTTATTTAGGTGCATCTAACTCCAAATTTCTCTTTGCAATAATTGTTATTCCAAGAGATTCTTTCCCCTAACGATATTTCTTAAATTTGTCAAAACCTGATCCTTAAGCTTTATCTTTGATTTCTTTTATTTATGAAATTTAGATAGATTTTTATTCTGAAGTATTTTTTTAATCAAAAGGTTATAATTCATCTTTCCATTTTATATATTGTTCATTTTCAGTTAAATATATAATTTTAATATTTGGTTTTCTTTATCCTTCTGAATATTTAATCATGCAAAATCCTTATTTTAGTTAAAGTAATGCATGTTATAATTTTGTTTATTAATTTATTTAAATCATTTATTTTGGTTATATTCCTTTTAATTCTGGTGATTATTAAGATTAAATTAGAATATTACTATTTTAATGAGCTTCAGTAAAATGATCAGAATTTTTGATATTTAAAGTAAATTATTATTTTGAATCCTATTCCATTTATGGAATTATATTAGACAATTGCTCTTTTAATTTTTTATAATCTATATTAATTTCTTATCTAAAAGGTCTTTCAAATAAACTATTCTCAAATAATTTACTAATCTTATAAATATATTAATTACTCAGAATTTAGACAAACATTTTTTCTCATAATTGACCATAAAGATAAATCTATTTTACTAAAGTCTTATTGATTTTCCATAATTAATATTAATTTACCTTCCTTATAATGTATAATAATCTAAAAATCATTTTTATATGTGACATCTACTATTTAAGAAATATCTAAAATCATTTTATTTTCATCTAAATAAGAAGGAGATAAAATTATCTAATCATCAACAATAACAAAAACTCCCTACTCTATTTCTTCATCATTTCCTTTCCCTAATATTGCAATTTCATTTTATTAAACAATATATTGAATTCTTTAAATACAATAAGTAGAATTTATTAAACTAACCAATTATCTATAATCCTATGAATTTTCATGTAGATCTGATTCGAATTGTGCAATTTATTCATTAAGTGTTTCAATTTTATTTAGTAATCTAGAATTTTACATTTACAATAATCTTATTTCATTTTATTTAATATCTTCTTGTAATCCTTCAATATTCTCTTAAAAAGAAGAATTAGAATCTTAACCTCTACTATTAAATTACTTATTAGATTAAAAAATTTGATATAAATTATGGGATTCTTATAAATTTTTTTCCAATAAACTTGTCAAATCTTGGAGCAAATTCTAAATATCATCTGAAGGTTAAGATATAGGTTATTTTATTTAATCCTATTTAATTTATGGAATAGTATTTTCAATAATTTCTTATAATGGAAATTTGTTATCATTTATATTAACAGGTTCATTTGTAAATTAAAAATCCTTTTTTTAAACTATTTATGATGTACATCTGTAATAAATGCTTGCTTTACTTCTAGAAGATAATTATTTAATTCATTTAACTGATTTGATTTAATTAGCTTCTTGGAATTTAACATATATATTTTTATAATAATATTTATAATGCAACAGAGGAGAAGAAAATCGAGAGATTGCTGTTTTATGTAATTTGTGAAATCCCTTTTTGGAATCACATGAGTATATATGAATTAATGACAATGAATAATCATAATAATTATAACAATGTTATTTAAAAGATTCATCAATCAAATGTAAATTTTAATCCTAATTAATTTCATAAATTGAAATCATTATTCTTAATTTTGATATTTATATAATTCTGTTTCTTTATTCAATTAACTTTAAAATTTATTTACTTTCCAATAAAATAGTTTATTTAACTTAAATTCCTTAATTAATACATTTATATTATTAAGAAGGTTATTATGAGAATATTTCTATGAATATAATAAATTATTTATAATGTTTGAACTTATTGGATTGTATATATTATTCCTAATAGCAATAAATTCATAGTTACTAAAAAACTTTCCTTACTTAATAAACTATCCATAATTATAAGAATACTTTATAGATACTCTAAATATTAGGTAAAATAATTACATTATCATTCTCATATGATCAAGTTATTTTAAATAGAGAATGATAAATCAATTTTTTTAATCTAAAAATAATTTAAAAGATGAGGAGGTTTAAATAAAATGTTTTAATGAAATTCAAATAAATTTAAGTATAAGAATTAGATCATCAAAGGAAGTTTATAGAAAAAATTTATAAATTCTGTATAGATTAGTTTTTAATTGAAAATATAAAAAAAAAAGGATAAAAATTTCAATCTTATTAATCATATCTATTAAAAATTAAGAGAAGTTTTATTTATATAAAAAAATAACTGAAATTTAATTAAAGAAATTATTGTTCTGTTAAAGACAAAAGTAATCAAAAGGAGGATTTGAATTGTTCAATTGATTTAAATTAATATGTATGGTTAAAAAATTTTTGATTATTATTTTCATTAATGTTAATAAATATTAATAAATACTTTTTCTTAAATGAATAATAATGAAGATAAGAAATAAATAGAAAGATTAGGAACAGCAAGTACAATGGATTAAACATTTTAATAATCTTAATTCTAATAAGAATACTAAAAACGAGTCAATTTCATTTAAGTAAATCTTTTCTCCAAAAATATTAAAAGTGATTTAAATCAAAAGTAGAATAATCGTTATTCTCGTCCACAAATTACTAATGAATCTAAAGATTAAGAAGATTAATAATAATAAACATTACATAACTAATAATAATACATAAATCAACAACAGAATTCTTAATCAAAACAGAAATAAATATAAATAAAACAATATAATCAATCTTAATATTTAGTTGAAGATAGGTAAGAGGAATATAATAGTGAGTTTGATAATGAAAATTTAGAATCACCTATTCCAAAATAAAAAAAGGGAAAAGGAGAACATCTTTATGTCAATTGGTACAATATATTTGAATTTTAGTTAGATGTAGGCTCTTAGTGAAATTTTAGTAAAATATCATATATAAGAGTTAAATCAGCCATATTTAAAAAGAAAAACATTAGCAAAGTGTTGCTGTTTTACATTAAAAACTAAATAATCATTCTATTAAATTTAGAAATAAATCATAATAAATGAAGGAAAGATGCCTTATAATGAAAATGATATCAATCATTGTAATCTTCTATATTCAATCCTATATTAAATGTATTAATTAGAGAAACTAACTAAAAAAAAGTCAAAGGAAATTGAATCTAAATAAACAATAGTCTTTTAATTAATTTATATGTTATCTTGTATAACTTTATTTAAGGATGATTTATTATTGCTTACAAATAATGACAAAGATAAAGTTATAGCAAACTTGTTTATGATATCAAAATGTATATTTGAAATCCTTTTAAGTGGTGTTTTGGATCCTATATTCAAATAATCAGACAATAATGGAGAAACTCTTCATAATACATTGACATCAATTCATATGGGTATGTTTTTAATGGTTTGTCGAGATAATTTAAATTAAGAAAAAGAAATTGTATAAAATTTGTAAAATAAAAATATTAAATCTCTCATTGATCTTTGGAAATAAAAAAAATTTGAAAATAATTGACCTATAACAATTTTGATTTATAAAACTTAATTAAATTATAGTTAATTATTTTTCTATATAAAAAATAACTAAAAGTCAAGAAATTATTCAAAATCAAATTCTTCAAACCTAATTAGATTGATTTATTTAGTATAATTTAATTTTTATGATAATAATATATATTAAGTAATGGATAAGAATTTATATAAAGTATTTTAATATTAATTATATTGAAAAACGCAATTATATAATTATTTATATAATATTTCTAACCAGATAGATTAGCAATTGTAAATTAAAATGTATATTTTTAACAATTCATTAATTGGTTTAGTCTTAAATTTAGAAATATAAGATATTGATGATTGGAGCATGATAGAATATGAATTTTGATGTGTTTTTTTTCGATAATTACTTATATTTATTTAAAATGAGCTATGATGAAGACTTCAACTTTGATGATTTGAATAATGATTAGTTTTGTTTTGTTTAAGAAAATTAGTTTGAGAATGACATATTAGATTAAAACAATTAATTATAGTTTGAATGTGATTAACTTAGAGATATAGAGTAATTAGAGGAAATAAATTTTAGTTGCTAAAACGAAATAAATCAAATTTCTGAAGATTTAGATGCAATTTAGAAAATGTCATCAACTCATAATTTTGATATTGAAAACAACTCAGGTTTATTACACAAAAATTAGTGTTTCAATAATGAAAATAAAGTGGATGATTGTACTTTTGAATCTAGAAGTAGAAGTTAAAGTAGGGAGATTGAAAAAAATGTAAACTATTAGTTAGAATAGAATTTAGACTGGAAAAATGAAAAAATGGACTCAATAAGAAAATGATTTAATAGCAAATTTGTATTATTAATTTAATGGAGATTGGCAGAGGATTATTGAGAGAATGCCAGGAAGAACTTTAACATAATGTAAATAGTATTGGTAGAGAAAACATAAATCTGAATAATCTAAGAAAAGCAAATGGACTGCTGAAGAAGATTAAATAATAAAGGATAATGTTAATAAGGAAGAAAACAATTGGGCAAAAATAGCTGGAAGTATATATAATATCATATGTTTGACAGTATTAAAAACTAAAACAGGAAAACAAATAAGGGAGAGATATATAAATAAGTTAAGATCAGATATTATTGATGTAAAATAATAACCATGGTCTAATTTAGAGGATCAAAAATTATTGTAGTTATATAAATAATTTGGATCTAAATGGTCTTAGATAGCTCGATAGTTTTCTGGAAGATCTGTAAAATAAATGAATTAAATTTGTAGGATTTGTAAATCAAAAATAGAACTAATAAATTATTAAAAACATAAAGTGGTACATAACCTTAAAATGAATAACTTAAATTATAATTAGAGAATCTAGAGAGTTATCTAGAATTAGATAAAACTTGTGAAAAATCTCAAAATAAACCTAAGTTTGAATTTCCATAATATAATTCTTATTCAGTCTCTTCTCAATTCATTTAATGAAAATATTTATATTTATTTATTTATTTATAAACTCTTATATGCTGAAAAAAGTTATGATTTGTTAAATATATATTATAAATTATTAAATATAATGTATATTTCTATTCATTTTTTAATTAAATTTAATATTATAAATAAAAACTATGGCATATTACGGAGTTGGTTTACCAACTGCTATATAAGAATTGGTTTTTAGATTTAGAAATCATATTTGTAAAGCTAATCCTTACTGTACATTATCAAGATTAAAGTAATAAGAAAGTAAATAAATATTAGAGCAATATTTTAATAATATGATAAAAATGGTAACGGAAAATTAAATTTAGAAGAATTAGATAATCTATTAAAGAGTGTTGGAATGTTCTTAAAAATAATTGAATTGCAAGCATTAATTAAATATTTTGATAAAGACAGAGATGGGTTTTTAAGTTTTCAAGAATTTTTAACTTTTATTAGAGAAGAAATGAATGAAAGAAGAAAAGCTATGGTACTTAAAGTATATGATAGTTAACAAAATACTAAAATTACATCAGATTATTTAAGTAAAATAAAATATATATAATTATTTAGGATAAATTTATAAGATTGATAATTTAACAGATGGAATGAAAACATTTATTAATAATATTTGTGTAGGTGATGAATTAACTTATGAATAATTTTTGGAATTTCATGAAGAACTATCATTAAATATAGCATCTGATGAAACATTTACATCTATTTTATCTAAAGCATGGAATATTGATGAAAAGTAAGAAGACACAGCATTCTAAGAATAATTATAGAATAGTTTAAAGTAAATAAAAGAACGAGTAATAGCAAGAGCAGGTGGTAAAACATATGTTATTAATGTTTTTAAAGAATTTGACACTAATAAATCAAAAGATTTATCAATTAGTGAATTTATCTTTTTACTCAAAAAAGTAAAGTATATAAATAAACTTTTAGCTTGAATTAGATTGGAATAAGGCTGCAATCAATAGAGTTTATAGAATTATGGATCAAAATGATAGTGGTTCAATAGAAGAATAGGAATTCATTAATTTTTTTAATAATTGATAATATCAATTAAAATCTATTTTAGATATTTATTTAAGTTATTTAATCCTACTATTCACATAACAATTTTAGAATATAAATGAATTTTACTAATTACATTTTTAATCTTCTATATTAATACTTTATGCAAATATTAAATATTTAGTAGTATATTTTTTGGTTTTTAGTTTAAATTTCTATATTAAAATGATATTCTTAGTTTAGTTGAAATGTTTCATTACATAATAAATTTACCATCTAATTAAATATCATATCATTATAATATATATATTGTCCATATTTTAATAAAACAATACTTTTACAAAATATTCTAAAATTAATGTTCTTGCAAATTTTATTGTTTATTTCATATATTGAAATGATAAAAGGATACTGTTCATCAGAATGTTAATGTTGTGTTAAAGTTGATTAAAATTACAATTGTGAAGATATAAGTTATTGCTTGAAGATTTTATGGATTTGGTTTGGTATTTGGATAATAATAACTATTGGATATATATTACTCTATTTTAAGAAACGAAAACAAACTAAAATTAGAATAGATCATATATTTGAGCTTTCATCAACATCCTTGAAATAAATGCTAATTTTATGTATAATAATATATTATTTAGCTCAAGAAAATAACTCAACTTTATCAAGTCCAAACATATGAATTAGGTGCCATAAATCAATCATGAAATTAGTAATATTATAATAATAAAAATGATTGCTATATTTTCAATAAAATAACTTCAGTTACAATGGGATATTATTATAATTTTTATATAATCACTATAAAATACTTAGTCAATCAACAATCCTATTGATTAAATAAACATAATTAAATTTGTTATTGATCATCTAATAAATCGTTAATCTAATGGTGTAATAAGAAGTAATTACCAAAATGTAAGATATTAAGGAATTAATTTCATATAATATATTCTTAATAAATTATTAACCAATAAACAATTAAATAAAATAATCATTTATTCTTAATAATAAGATAGCTTTCTTTATATATTTTTATTGATCAATATTATTATAAAATATTTAATTTATATATCACAAAAATTGATAGTATTGTAAATAATTAGATAAATTAAAATTCAAAAATAAGTATGTTTGCTTGTGGTGGCAAAAGTAAAAAGGCTAATCAATAAAACACAATTTTATTAGAGGATAAATGTAAAATTCATAATAATGCTTTTGATTGTGTAAGTTTAAATTATACAGATAAAAGTCAAACATTTAAAGCATGTCCTTTATGCAAATAATAAAGAACAAAGGAATAGTTTGTTACTTTTAAAGAGATATAAAATAAACTCTAAACTTAAATATCAAATGATTTAGTTGGAGAATTCAAATTAAAAATGACTCAATTATTTAATGAGACAGAATAATTCAGAACAAAATTAATATAAACAGCTGATTCTATTCATGAAATTTTAGTAAATGGCATTCATGAATTATTTGTTAATAGTTTATTTAAGAAGTTGCCCAATAATCTTTTTACAATTGAAGACATATTTGATGTATATAATATTTATAATTATGCTTTAGTTAGTGACCACTAAAACTATTGAAGCTTTTAGTAGTATTATGGATTAACAGATATAATTTTAAAAAGGTGATGATACAAGTACAAGTCTATTGACTAAAATACTGTTTCATGAATAGGAATCAAGACAATTTATAGATGCTTTAAAAGATGCTTAAGGAGTTAAAAAGAAATTGGAAAAGATTAATAATGATTTTACTGAATTGAAGAATGAAATTTCTAAAAAGATTTAATAGATTAGTAAAAAAGTATGATCATAATTCCTATTTGATATTAGAGTGTAATTGATGCTCCAAAAGTAGATTTATAGGAACCTACTTTATAGTTCTTAATTGAAAAAAATAAATAAGAACAAGATGTTATAGTTGAATAAATAAAAACAGTAATAAATGATAGTTAAATAAAAGATTTAAGGAGTGAAAGACATAATAATTGAGCCAAGTTAAATTGAGAGGTAAGAAAATCCTTAAGTAAAATCAATAATTTCAATTGATTAAAAACTACTTGCATATAGTTCTGGTACCAGAATTTTTATTTTTGATAAAACCAAAAACTTTTCATTTATTTAATAAGTAGATTGCGAAAATGATATTTCTGCTTTGTGTTCTGTGACATTAGATAAAAAAACATATATAATTGCAAGGTATAATAAGGAATAATAATAAGTGTTGAAGAAAATGAAGAGTCATTTTAATTGTAATTTTGGGATTGGGAAAACTTTGATAAATGGAAAGTCATTAATGCTCATGATAAATATATTTGGTAAATCATTAATTTACCTAAAAATTTAATAGCATCATGTTCAGAAGATGGAGTAAATATCTATATATATATATATATTAGACTATTAAAATATTTAATGCTTTAACATAATAATAAGTATAAAAGATTGCTGTTCATTAAGCAAGTGTTAATGATATAGCTTTAATAACTCCAGAAATTATTGCTTCAGTTTCAGATGATGGTACACTTGTAGCATCTAATTTTTTAAATGGAGATTTAGTTGGAATAGTTCCATAAGATAATGAAATTAAATCAGTGATTGCTTTAGATGGAATTAGATTTGTTACTGGAAATAGTTCTGGAGAAATAAGAATTTATACTTTTGTTCAATCAATAGAAACTTAATAAGTTATTAAGGCTCATGACTCTGTAGTTAGATTTCTTAGTAGAATAGATTAAAAGTAAATAATTAATTTATTATTAATTAGATTATTTGTTACTTCATCTTGGGATGGTACTCATAAATTTATTTCTGTTGTTGATGGAGAAATCAAAGTTATTAATGGACCTAAAAAGAATTTCCCAGAACCACTTCTTTGGATTCAAGATATTGGTTGTTTAGTTGCTTCAGCTGGTGGAATTCTACAAAAATACAAATGATAAATAAATAAATAAAGTATATTTAAGAAATAATAAAAATATAAATATATAATAGTCAATTATTATGTTTATTTACACTAAGTCTAGAGGTTTAAAATAACTTTTAGTTAATATAGAAGTTAAGTTTATATAAATGTTCTTGATCTACATAATTATTATCATGTTCCAAACTATCAAGTTCATATTCATCTTCATAATCTAATTTAATGTTTTTTTAATAAGATAATGTTTTAGACGGTATACGAATTTTATCATGTGGATTACAATCTTTATCATTTGAAGTTCTAGATTATGAACTAATTTCTTGTTATTTTTAATATTCTTAACTTTTTCTACTAATAGGTACACTCATTATAGAAATGGTTCTATTTTTATATCCATTATTTTGTGGAGTAGTTTATGTATTAGCTTAACTTACATAATTGACACCTTAATCCATTTCCATGCTAGCATGCATATGTGTATTATTCTCTCCTTTGGCAATAATATCACGATATTATTTAGATACAAGTTATTTAGGTAATTGAATTTAACAAAAAAATGGAGTCTTAAAAAAGGAATGGTTTAATGCATCACTTATGGTAATCCTATCTTTAGGATACTTTTTTGTCATTTAACATATAAGATTCTCCACTAACGAATATTAATAAAGAGCAGTTTACATGATTTTGGATATTTGGATGAGGGTATTTCAAAATATCCATCAGTATTTTTTTTAATAGTTTATTTTAAATCATTTTGTTTAAATGGATTATAACCATACAAAACAACAAATAAAGTTATTCCTAAACTAAATATATCACATTATTGATTATATATTTTTTTAGATTCATCATATTTTAATACTTCTGGAGCTGAATAACTAAAATTAAATAGTAAAAGTATTATACCCAGGACTTCCACATTATGGAAATGGTACATTCTTTTAATAAGTAAATGCTGCTAATCCAAAATCAATTAAAACAGGATTCTAAATATCATTATTATTTAATATTATGTTTTATGGTTTAATATCTCTATGCATTACTTTTTATTAATGAATCTATTCAACTGCACTAAATAAACGAATTATCATTATTCTTAAATCATCAGATGAATATATTTTTTTAGATGATTATTATGAAACCAACTCTGGACCATCTATATATTCAGTTAATAAACATATTTTCTATTGATTTTCATAAACTCTATATAGTTTTAATATATTAGCATGATTAAACATTCTAAGAGTTTAGATTTCATTTAATAATTATTCTTCGTAACACTTATTTTTATTAAATTATTTTATTGTTTGTTTTTTTATTATTTTTACAGCAAATATCTCACCTTCCTTATTGAAACATTAATGAACCTTAAAATATATATTTTGGTTTACTGTTGAAAAACTTCCTTAACCTATTTGTATTCCTAGTTTGTATACTTAATCAAAATCACTTAAGATGCAACAATTTGACAAAGCATCTACCCAAATTTTGAATTACTACTTGTCCTCTGTATTCAAATGAATTTAGTAACCATTATTTATTAATGCTATTTAAAATCCTGTTTCCAATTAATTAAATTAACAATATACAGTATCCAATTATACAAATCCTTTTATATTGTTTCCACTTCCTACATCAGAGTATAATAAAAATTATTTGACCAAAAAGTAAGTTCTGAGGCATCTCTATTTGAAGGTCCTTCCAACTTTTGTGAAATTCCCCATTAACACTTATACATTTTGAAAGTCTTCCTTATCAAATATTGGAATGTCAGATTTATTCCAAAACTCTTAATTTTGCACTAGACCTTTGCTAAATATCATATTTATTATTAAAAAATTATCGAATTGAATAAATATAGCTTCAATTCAATGTCGAATGTTGATATATTTAATAATACTACATTATCATATCATTTAAACCTAAATATTCATCACATAATTTGCGATTTATTTTTTAATTTACTTTAATTTTTCCGACCTCTTTTTTATAACTATCATAATATCGGAGATTCTGTCTTAATGCCAATAACCTATAATCATTAAGATCTATTGATTATGTATTCAATAATAAATCTTCTATGATTTTTAGCTTGTAAAATATAGTAAATATAGACAATCATATGTTGATCACGTCATTCATATTATTTAATATTTTATTATACAATTATTTAACTTTTAAATAATATTGAATCAACTCAAGATTTGTATTTATATTTAAAAATATATCATTTAAAAACTAACTATTTTGACTCTCATTTCCTTCATAATTTACATACTTTCACTCTTATTATTAAATATTCTTTCATTTCTAATAAATTTAAGAACTGGACATTATTATTATTATTATTATTTTTCAATGTGATGATTAATAATATTTTATTTTTAGTATAATATATTTTTTATTAATAATCATCATATTTTTTATGTAAATTTATCCACAACCTTAGGATGAAACAGATAGAAAATTTATAGAAATCCCATTTAATATTAAAGATCAAAATCAATAAAATAAATACTAATCAGAAAGCATTGAAACAACTTAAAAAGATTAATTATCATCCTAATTCAAATCTAAAGGCTTATTATCTTCGGATCAAAAATCTAATTCATAAAAGAAAATTCGTTATGATTCTACAGGTTAACCAATACTTAAAAAGTCCAAAGCACATCAAATTACATTTTGCAATTAATTATGCCAAACATATTATGTAGAAAGCTGGAAAGAATATAATTCGAATGATAT